AGTTTTTCTGCTCAACCTGTTGCCAAACTTTCCCATGAAGCTGTCAGTGATATCCCCAAACTGTGATGCCTTCCTCTAAACTGACAGTGAAAACTCATTGACCACCCTCTCCACAATCATGTGGGATTCCCTGGGAGCCAGGGGCCATCCCTATCATCCATAATATGCCATCACATACACCATGCCTGGCACATAGAAGGCATCCAATAGATGTTGGTTGGATGAGGACTGTGCTGGTGATGGAAGTACACTGCTCAGACCACCCTTCAAGAGAACCCACTGCGGGGAGCACAGCTGGTTGAGAGCCTCCAGCTTCTCTGCTTTCCAATCTTCTATGAAGTTCTTGCTGAAGCTGTTTCCCCTGGTTTCTCCCAGTCAATGACTAAGCATAGGGGATATAAGAACCTAGCTACTTCTCTCTGATGCAGGACACCCTAGCAGGCCACCTTTGCCTGGGGACTCCCCATTGGCTTGGCGGAGACATTTCCAGAACGGCAGAGCACTCTGGAGCCTTCCTACCCCAGCCTCCTCCCTTCCACTCTCTTTTCCCAGCTGTAGCATCTGCATTAGGGTCCGAAGGCCCTCCTTCCCTTTTCCTCCTCCTTCCTCCTTCTTCCAAGCGTTTTTCCCGGGGGGGGGGGGGGGGGGGGGACACCTTGGCATTTGGTTCTCAGAGGACCCAAAACAACACAGGGATCAATGAAAAAATATTGGAAGAGAGTTCATATATAATAAGACTACAGATACACTTGTATAAGAGATTTGTGTACAAAGATGTCCCAGATTCATGCGTTGAAAACTATGTGTACGTGAATCACTGGGGGGTCATGCTGAAATGTCAATTCTGGTCCAGTAGGTCTGGGGTGGATGCAAGACGCTGTGTTTCTAAGAAGCTCTGGAGTAGTACCAAGGCTGCTGGTCCAAGGACTGCATTTTGAGTAGCAAGGTGCTGGAATGTTTATATTACCACTGAGTCTCTCCTCCCTACTCTGAACCGTGAGAGGATGACTGAGGGGACCTTAGCAGCAGGGTCAAACCTCTGGCTAACAGCTGGGTTTGGCCAAGAAGGAGCACTAGAGTGCAGGACGAGGAGGAGGTCAGAGGGTTTTATTGCTCTGGGGATTATTCCCTACTAGGTTGCTATAGGTTGGCTGTGTCCCTCTACCAAAGGTCCTAACTCCTATCAGCGAGATCTCTCCATTTTTCTCTCTTGCAGAATTCCAGTAACTGCTCTCTCCCTTCCCCCTTCAGGCCTGGGTGGCAATGGCTCCCTACTGTTAGCAGCGTTGGAGTACTGCACCAGCTCTTGGCATTCGTAGTAAACTCTGCCCACAGTTCTGTAATTAGTCCTTTAGTAAATGCTCCTCATTTCTTCAGCCAAGTGTACCATCTGTCTCCTGCTGGGACCCTGACCTATAAGCACTGTCAGAACAAGATTTGTTTTTCTATAATAGCAGAACAGTGGAAACAAGCTAATTGTGCATCATTTAAAAATGATTAAATAAATTAGGGTACATCTGCTTAATGGTGTTCCATGCTACCACTAGAAAGGATATAGCAGATCTATATTCACCTGCATGGAAAGATGCCGTTTGTTAAATTTTTAAAAAAGCAAGATTCTGAAGAGCCTGCAGGGTATGAAATGCATTCATTCACAAAGTAAAATATGCATTTGTGAAGCCTGGGATTGCAGGGGATGACAACCCTGCTCCAAACAAACTTACCAAAAAGAACAGGGCTTGGGGGTGGAGTGGGGGGAGGAGCTTCGAGGATTTTCTGACTCCCTCTCTCTCCATCACTTGTCGTGCTTTCCTGAGCGGTAGCTTCTCTCCCAGGCAGACTCTTCACGTGGTGGCAGAGCAAGCACAGTGTGGCTTACAGCATCCGGACAGCCTGACAGTTGACAGCTCTAGCGCAGAGGCCCTGGTTCCTAATTGCCTTAGCAAAAACTCCCAGGCTGAAGCAATCAGGATGGGCTGGGACATAGTCTAACCACTGAACCATACAGACGAGAGCAGGGAGGGAGGCTCCCTAAAAGAAAGGAGGCATTTCTTCCTGGAGTAGGAGAAGCAGAGCAGGTATAAGCAGCAGATACTCACTCTTAAGGGAGTATTTGTAGTAGACATTTATCCTTTTTGGCTGCCCAGTATCTGAACCTGTTCCCTAATCTGGAGTGTTTCTTCCCTTCTAGGGAACTCTTCTAGGGAACCTATCCTGGAGCCTACCTCCTGCTATACATGCTGAAAATGCCCGAAATGCACTTTCTCAATCTCCCTTTCTGCCAGTCAGAACCACGTGACCCAGGCTGAGCCATTTACTCTCTCTCATCTCAGGCTCTCACTCTGGAGCTGGGAATTCCAGAAAGGGCCCATGCGGACTCCATCCTGGTATAGGGTGCAGCCATGCCGTAATATGGTGCGCCCTTCTTGGTTGTGGGCCTTCCAACATTGGTTCTTTGGTCCTTGTGGGATCTGTGAGCTACAAAAAGATCCTTGTATTAAATCCCCTTTCTACTGAAATTATCCAGAGGGTTTGTTTCTACAGCGTGCAATCAAGAAAGTTGATCAATGCCTATATGTACATATGCATGTCTGTATACGTGTGAAACATCCTTGGAAAGATGAAACAAATGTGAATATTGGTTATGTACAGGGAGTAGGACCAGGAAGTGGGAGAAGAGGGAAAGGGGCTTTCACTTTGGCCTTATGTCCTTCTATACTGTTGGAATTTATTTTTTACCACACATGCAACTTTTATAATGAAATAGCTAGTTAGTAAAAAGCTGAATAAGTAGAATTTTATTTTTATTTATTTTTTAAAGATTTCATTTATTTATTTATTTGACAGACAGAGATCACAAGTAGGCAGAGAGGCAGGCAGAGAGAGGGGGGAAGCAGGCTCCCTGCTGAGCAGAGAGCCCGATGAGGGGCTCAATGCCAGGACCCTGGGATCATGACCTGAGCTGAAGGCAGAGCCTTTAACCAACTGAGCCACCCAGGCACCCCTGAATAAGTAGAATTCTAAAAGGATGCAATTATTCAGGATTTTCACAGAAACAAATGTCTTCATTAGACCTTCAAAAGGAAGTCATCCTCACCTCTGTTGTAAATGGGGCCAAATCAGGAACAGAGTGAGAATGTACCACTTCACACACGGGACCTATGTGATTAGCTCTAGCCCTGTAACTTGCCTGTTCACTTTCCAGGGCTTCCCATTACTCCCAGAATAAATCCCACTATATTCATCCTGGCATTCATTGGCCCTTGGGAAGCTGAGCCCTGTGTAGTTTCGAGGTTTCTCCTCATCTTTACATTTTGCTTAGACTTCTTCTTCCAGCCCTGCTGGCCCAGATCCTAAGGGTATTACCATCTTCTCTGATCTGCCAATGCCATGATCCTTATTCCTTTTTCAGGCCCTCATCAAGGGCTGATCTGTGTTATGATTCTATGCACACGAGACATAGCCATTTACACATCGTGTACTGAGCACCTACTGTATCTGGCCTTCTGCGAAGCTTTCGGACCACAGCTCAGAGTCAAGGGAAGCAAATCATATCAGAATAACGTATCGGAATGTTAATGTTATCGCAAGGAGCAGGTGGTGTAAGCAGTTTGCAAACAGGGCTGCCCTTGTTAGAAGCTTTCCCCCTCCTTGCCTGGATGGCACTCTCCCCAAATGTCAGCCTGGCTCCATGGTCTGTGCCAGTGTCACATTCTCAGGGATACCTTCTGTACCCATCCTATTATAAAATAATACCCCATCCTTTTTTTTTTTTTAAGATTTTATTTATTTATTTATTTATTTGACAGACAGAGATCACAAGTAGGCAGAGAAGCAGGCTCCCTGCTGAGCAGAGAGCCTTGATGCAGGGCTGGGATCATGACCTGAGCAACCCATGTGCCCCAATACCCCATCCTTTAACCTATGTACTAGGATTTAGGTTATGCTCTATTTATTGTTTCAATAGCACTCATCGCTGACACCTGTAAAAGTTACTTACTTGTTTGTGTATTTACAGATTGTCTTTTTCCACTGTCGGGTCCAGGAAAGCAGGGATTTTATTTTGTTCCTGCATCTTCTCCAGCACTGAGAACAGTGCATGGTTGGCACTCCATAAATATTTGTTGAGCCCAGAGCACAGAAGACCGGGGTCCCAGTCACCTCGCTCCTGCAGGAGAGTCCTGTGACTTAATCTCCCTAAGCCTCAGGTGTCTCCTCTGTAAACTGGGGGTGGTCACTTGAGCCCTCCTTTGTGGCTGACAGGATGCTGCGAGGATCAAACATCAGCCTTAAGCTTCAGTATGCACCAGCATCACCCGGAGGGCTTGCTAAAATACAGGGAGCTGGGCCCCACACGCGAATTTCTGATCCCGTAGGACTGGGGTGCAGTCAGGAAATTTGCATTTGTAACAGTGTCCCAGATGGTGCCGATTCAAGAATCACTGATGAAAAGAGAGGAGGTACAGGAGGCGCTTGTAGCCTTAATCCCCAGGTAAGGACCGGCTCTGAAGGCCCCGCAGGATGTCCCGGGGGCCGGGTGCAGAGTGGACCCATCCGCGCCTCGCTTCAGCCAACAACTGGGAAGTTGCCCCTGTGCGCCCGGCGCCGGCGGGGCAGGGGGCAGCTGCGCGCCACAGGCCTGGCCCGAGCGGCGGGGGACCCAGACCCGGTGGTTCCAAGCTCGCTGCGCGAGTGGGCTGGAGCAGGCGCTCCGACCTCCGCGCGGGACAGGAAGTCCCCTGAGCCGCCGGGGAGGGCCGTCACCAGGCGCCTTACGGGCAGAGGCGGGCCGGTTAGCCTCAGAGCTTTCCGGAACTTACTGTCCCTCCCGGCGCGGCGAGGACGCGCGGCCCGGCCTCCAGCGCGCGCCCGGCACACAGTAGGCGCGCGGTCCCGCCCCCCTGGCGCGCGCCCGGCACACAGTAGGCGCGCGGGCGGCGGGCGGAAGGGGGCGCTGGCGCGCGGTATCCGGGGGCGGAGCCGGCGCGGCCGGCCAGACCGAGGGGCGCAGGCCGCCGGGACGCGATGGGCGAGGGCGGGCTTCCCCCGGCCTTCCAGCTGCTGCTGCGTGCTTGCGACCAGGGCGACACCGAGACGGCGCGGCGGCTGCTCGAGGCGGGGGCGGCGGAGCCGGCGGAACGCAGCGCGGAGCCTGAGGCGGGCGCGGAGCCGGCGAGGGCCGAGGCGGCCGGGCCCGGGGCGGCGGCGGCCGGAGCGCCAGTGCCCGTGGACTGCTCGGACGAGGCGGGCAACACGGCGCTGCAGTTCGCCGCGGCCGGGGGCCACGAGCCGCTGGTGCGCTTCTTGCTGCGCCGCGGCGCCTCGGTGAACAGCCGCAACCACTACGGCTGGAGCGCGCTCATGCAGGCAGCCAGGTGAGGGACCCGGGATCCCCAGGGGTGGTGCCAGGCGGGCTCAGGTGGCCGACCCTGTCTGGCGCCCCTGCAGACGGCCCGGGAGGTAAAGAGTCAAGAACTCGTTCGAGAGAGCTGGAATGGTAAACTTTGAGCAGCTTGGGATTCTACAAGAAGTGGGAGCGCTTTCTAACAATAAAATCAGAATCTTAGAAACAGCGGGCCTTTCGAAACAATCTGAAGACCGCGTTGAATAGAATCTTAGAGACTTATCATCCTAGAGGTGTTCATTCATCCTTTCTTGTAACATGAGTTTCCTAAGAACCTACCTACCTACCCATCCTAGCCTGGGCGACGGGGACACTGTGGCAGCCAGGCACAGCCGCACCAGGAGCAGCTCACGCGCCAGTGGGCAGACCAGACAAGAGATGATGGGGAAAGGGCAGGGAGCTCTGGGGATGGCAGACCCAGTTCGTGGAAGTGGAGGAAGGTTTTTTGTAAGAATGATGTATATTTTCAAGTCGAGACTGGGTAAGAATTAACCAGGACAGAAGTGGGAGGTGGGAAGGGCGTGAGAGGAGGCTCACGCAAATGTTTGAAAGCAAACATGAACACAAGGCATTGGTAGGACTGCTAGAAGGATGTCAGTGCTAGGAGGGGGCTGGAAGTAGTGGGAGAGGAACCCTCCCTGGAGAGGAAGCAGATGCTGTGTGGCAGGGCTGAGAAAGATGAGGTATCCTAAGGGCCCTGGGGAGTACTAGAAGGTTCTAGGCAGAGTGAGTGACAGATTTATGTTTTGGGAAGATCACTTTCACTGCAGGGTGAGGACAGATTGGAGGGATGGGCTAGTGTCGAAAAGCTTGGTTCGCAGGCAATTGCAGCAGTCTAGGGAGAGGTGATGGTAGCCTGGACCAGAGCAGAGAGCAGTGGAGAGCAACTAGATGTTTGAGATCTTCTCAGGAAGCAGGATGAAGGGGATTTGAAGCGCTGGTGGGAGGGGATTCTGATATTCAGTAAAGTCACTCACCCCTGTTGGCCATCATCTTAGGCCGCACGCACCCCTCAGTTTGGTCGTTGGTGGGTGTTTTAGTATCAGAAATGGTTACATTTGGGGCGCCTGGGGGGCTCAGTCGGTTGGATGTCTCTCTTTGGCTCAGGTCATGATCCCAGTGTCCTGGGATCAAGCCCCACATCCTGCTCCCTGCTTAGGGGGAAGCCTGCTTCTCCCTCTCCCACTCCCCCTGCTTATGTTCCTTCTCACTGTGTCTCTGTCAAATAAATAAATAAAATGGTAAAAAAAAAAAAAAAAAAAAGAAAAAGAAAAAGAAATGGTTACATTCATGTTTTATCCTATTCTGAAAATGGTAAGCTTTTTTGAGCACTTTTTGTGTCAAGCATGGGTTTCAGTGCTTTAAGTGAAGTAATTCATTTAATCCACAAAAACCTTGGGCTGTGTAAGTACTATTGTCACCCCTATTTTACAGATGAGGAATTGAAGCTCAGAGAGTTAACTTCTCGAGGCCACACAGCTTTTAAGTGGCAGAGCCACATTCACACCCTGGCGGATGGTTCCAGAGCCTGTGCTCCCGGCCTCTGTTCTAGGCCACCAATCCTGTAACCTGACTGTTTCCTCTTGGTCTTGGCCACAGGGAAGCTCCTCAACAAATTGGCCAAATGCTAAAGGGACAGGTTGCATAGTGTTTACTTTGGCCCTAACTTCACCCTTGGCCTCTTACTTTCCTTCTCCTGCCCTTCATTTCTCTGCCTGCCAGTGTGGCCTCTCTGCCCAGTACTTTGGGCTGTAGGACTTTGTGCCAGGTCTTTAAGCACAGGTGTTAATTGCCGAAATTAATTGGTAATCACAGCTGCTGTTCAGAAAGCCCCACGCTTCCCCGTCCTCAGTAATTACCTGTTAGAAACATAGCATCCACAAAATTCTCTCAGCCTTCCCTGAATTGTTTTATGTTTTCAGCCTAATTGAATGACCTCTTGGGCTACCTATGGGTTCAGAAAGTATTCCAGGTGTCAGCATTTCGGTTCAAATTCTCTCCTTTTCTATCTGATAATGTTTTGTACCAGAAGAGCTGGAGTTTGGGGGTTTTAGGGTGTAGGTTCAAGTTTTGACTCTTATCACTTTCAAAAGAAGAGGCTCTGCTTTCCATTCAGGTCTTCAGTTTCCTCATCTGTGAAATGGGCATTATCAGTTTATTTCAAGGTTTATTGGGGCATCTGGGTGGCTCAGTCATTAAGCATCTGCCTTTGGCTCAGGTCATGGCTCAATCCCAGTCTCAGTCCCAGGGTCCTGGGATTGAGCCCCATGTCGGGCTCCCTGCTCAGCAGGAAGCCTGCTTCTCTCTCTCCCTCCGCCCCTGATTGTGTTCCCTCTCTCGATGTGTCTCTGTCAAAAAAATAAATAAAATCTTAAAAATAAATATTTCAGGGTTTATTAAGATCAAATGAGATAAAAATGTGACAGTACCTTTTAATCTGCTGTGAGGAGTTATCCTAGGTTTTATTTTATGCTTGATAACGAAATAGTGTGGTTTTTAAAAATTCTCTACTTCCATGGAGGATAAATGAGTTCTGTGGTCCTTTCCATGGCCCACCTCTGGACCATCCTCTGCTTGGTTATGCCAGTCATTTATTTAACACCATCTACTGAGCCCCACTGTCGGTCAGCCCCCCGGTCCTGTCCTCCGAGAGCGCACGGTCTAACAGGCAGACATAATGGTAGAAGGAAGGCTCAGGTGCATCCTAGAGGCGAGGACCGGGGGACTTCAGGTGCCTAGATGAAGGGCACCTGAACTCATGGCGGGAAGGGGTCCTGGAAGCTGCTCAGAGGGGGTGAGCTCTGAGCTGAATCCTGAAGCAGGATGGTATACTTAGGAGAGACGGACAGGGGAGTGTTCTGGGCAGAGAGGCAGGATGGCAAAGGCAAAGTCATGGAAGGAGTAGAATTGGTGAGTACAGGCCAGAGTGGAGGGGATGCCGTGGGGGTTGGGTGGACATGAAGTTGACTTGGTCAAGGTGGACAGGCCTCTTCAGGCAGTGGGAAGCTGGGCCGTGGCCATCAGCTTGGGGCAATCCCGCCACGGAGGATGGGCAGGAAGGAATATGACTGGAGGTAGGGAGACAGGCTGGGGTTGAAGTTTTCTGCATTTGAGCTTGTGATTTTGATTTGCTCCCTTTCTGCTTTTGGAGAAGAGGAGGGACAGGCCCAGTCCCCCTAGAGCTGGAGGAGCCAGTTCACAAGCTCTCCCTCCAGAGGCTGAGGTGACCCGGTGCCGTTAAGGTTCACGTCTCTGAAGGTATTTTTAAGTTCAGATCAGAGTTTGGCCTTGGCTTTGCCTCCACAGGGAGAAGGGAGGCCCTAGGTTTATAGGAGGTATGAAACTCACTTCCGGAAAGGAGGGGAATGCGACAAGAGAACCAAAACGCTGCCTCGCAGATGCAGACGTTACGCAGGCGTTATGATCTGGTGCTCCGGACCCCTCTCCCGTCATTCTTTCTGGTCAGTCCAAGGCTCCTTCCAGCTCAGACACTCGCTGCTCAGCCCCAAGTGTGCCAACCAAAACCCTGCAAAACAGATCTTTTCTGCCCTCTGGTGGCTAAAGGAGGCAGAGGTTTTGCTGGGAAGAGGCATCTGTTTTCCTGGTATTGGTGTTGGTTGGTGGTCGCCTGTGTGTCTCCCTGGCCTGCTCCAGCTTCCGGGAGGAGGGCCCCGCCCAGGCCTAATTCTTAGCCCCTGACAGCCAGCATTCCTGCCAGCAGGTGGCAGCAGGCTTCTGGCGAGCCCATCTCTGCTGACCAGAGCCGGGCTACTCCTCTTGGCATGCGGTGCCCTGGCTCATCTTGAAGGACCTTCTGTGTGTGTTTGGGGATGGGTAGACATGAGTCAGCCCTGAGCCCTGCCCACGGGAGTCAGCACAGACAGAAGTAGATTGCAAGGCTACAAAGCAATAAAATGAACTCTCTGGGATGTGGGAAGCAGCATGGTGTAGGGGAAAAAGTGAGGACATCAGGATTCAGACAGACCTGGGTTCTGACCCTGACACCACTTTTTACCAGTTGGGTGACATCGGTATTTAGCGTAACATAAAAGGTCAAATGATCATTAAAACATCTAACACTTACACAGTGCTCCTTTGGCCAAGCACTGTTCTGAGTGCTGCATATATTCTCTATTAATATATACTAACTCGTTGAATCCTTAACAGCCCTTGAAGCAGACACGGCGATATATCCCTGTTTTACAGGTGAGGCAATGAAGGCATGAAGAAGCTGAAGTTCTTTCTCAGGGTCGTATAGCTAGTGATTGGCAGAGCTGGATTTGAACCTAGACAGAGCAGTTGTTCATGTTTGATGGTGGACCTGCAGGGCCAGCACAGTGCCTGGCACCAGAAGAAGACCTTTTACTCTAAGTCGCTATTTTGACTTTAATAATGACAGATGAGGATTACATAAGCTGTCTCCGTGTCGGTGCTCCATGTTAGTGTCACTAATTCTCTGTCTTCCTGGCAGATTTGGGCACGTGAGTGTGGCACATCTCCTTTTGGACCATGGGGCTGATGTCAACGCCCAGAACCGACTAGGGGCCAGTGTGCTCACCGTGGCCTCTCGGGGTGGCCACCTGGGCGTGGTGAAGCTGCTTCTGGAAGCTGGTGCCTTTGTGGACCATCACAACCCCTCCAGCGAGCAGCCGGGGGCAGGGGACAGCAGGGACGAGCTGTTGGACATCACAGCCCTGATGGCTGCCATCCAGCATGGGCACGAGGCCGTAGTGCGTCTGCTGATGGAGTGGGGTGCGGACCCCAACCGTGTGGCCCGAACTGTGGGCTGGAGCCCGCTGATGCTGTCGGCGCTCATTGGGAGGCTTGGCGTGGCCCAGCAGCTGGTGGAGAAGGGGGCCAACCCTGACCACCTCAGCGTGCTGGAGAAGACCGCCTTCGAGGTTGCACTGGACCGCAAGCACAGGGATCTTGCAGACTACCTGGACCCACTGACCACAGTCAGGCCCAAGACAGGTCAGGCTGTGCTCCCTTTCCTGCCATGGCTTCACAGAGGACCCTAAATGGTGTTTAAATGACAAAAGCTGAGGCTTACCCAACCAGAGGGCATGCACAAATCAGAGTCTGGCCTACAGAACAGTGGGTCTTAAGTTGTGCTGTGCATAAGAATCAGTTGGAGTGCCTATTATTTGTGGGTCCAAGGGCTACCCTCTGGAGTGATTTGGTATCTGTGGGAAGAGCCCGGAACCCCCATAGCAAGGCCCCTCCTTTCCAACCAGACGATTCTGATACAGGAGGTTCTGGGATCTTTGTAGAATAGGGGTCAGCAGACTTTTTCTGGAAAGGACCAGATAGTAAATATTTTAGACTTTGCGGGCCAGCCTCTGTCAGAACCACTCAATTCTGCTAGAGAGAAAGCGGCCATACATTATATGTCAATGAGTGGGTATGGTGTGTTCTAGTAAAACACTGATTACCAAAATAAGCTGGGAGCAAATTTGGCCCAGGACTGTAGTTTACCAACCCCTGCTCTAGAACAATGTGCCCTCTGCCCGTGAAGACCTTGGCCTCTGTAGGGGAGACAGGCAAGAAGCAGGAAATAAATATTAAGTATACGGTATGGTAGGTGGGCATTACCATGGTGGGAGCGGGAGATGGGCAAGGCTGAGGTTTGGGAGTGGTGGTGATTGGGGCAATGCAGGCTGCCCCTGGTGGGTGGCCTCCTGGAGCAGGTGAGATGGCAGCTGGCTTGCAGGAGCTGAGGAAGTGCTCCAAACAGGCTCTCAGGGAAGAGCCTTCAGGTAGGCCAGCAGCAAGGGCGAAAGTGTGTTATTAGTGATAGATTATTAAATAAATAACCATTAGCCTCTAGCTGTTTTTGTGAGATGCCAGGAAATTCACCTGGAAGACCCCCCCCCCCCCAGTTCTTTCCCTCCCGTTAGCTACAAGAGGGTATCCCCTGACCCCTACTGTGGTTGTTCCTGGGCTCGGGCAGGGTCCCCAGTCTGCTCTGCTGCAGATGGCAACTCTGGCATCTGGAAGGAAGAGGGGACCATCAGTGGCACAGCTCCCCCAGCCTCCTGGGGTCAGGCTAGAGGGTCAGTGATTGTTTTGTATTGAATGGTTGCTTAGCAACCAACACACAGGCCAGATGACACGCATTTTCCTCAAGGGGTCTTGGCATGAGAAGGCTCCGCCCACAACAAATTAGACTTTTATACACTTAAAGGAATGTGACATATTTAAAACTGAGATGCAGAATCCTTTCTTAATAGTATTGCACTAGCAGAATTAGACACTCGGTCCCATGGCCCTGTCCGTACGTCTCTGTGAGAAGCTTGGAGTTACGGAATACCCTTTCCGGGGTGGGTGCCAGTCACTGGTCAAGAGAACAAAAATTGCTGTTTGGATTTCTGGAGCATTTCCCATTTCCATTCTTGATCTCTGAAATCACCACATCATCCCCATGTTAACATGTTATCCCCCTGTTGTTGGTGAGGAGAGTGATCATTCTAGAAACACACACACACTTTCCAACACGCTCACTTCAAACTTGGTGATCCCTGCACCGGGCGGCAGCTTCCTCCCAGCTGCTTGAAGGGGCTGACCCGGCCCAGAGAGTTAGCCCAGAGCCACAGGCTCCCCTCACAGCTCTCACACCTCTCACAGTTCCCCTGCCACGAACTCTGTCTCTGGAGTTCGTGGAATTGCCAGAAGTCTTGCATTCGGCCACCTGCAGGGGTGCTGGTGCTGAGGATGTCTGTTTTCTAACAGTAGCACAGTACCTACCAGCTCAGGCTCGGAGGAGGGTGACGGATGGGGAGGGGCCAGCATGAGGTGGGTACAGCAAGCCCCAGGTTTGGGGATAGGCGTGGCCTCCCATACCAGCTGGGCTGCAGGGACCAAGGTAAAAACATCAGGGGGTCTGCAGGGGGCCACATCTGCAAGGCTGGGGCAGACTCAGTTGTTCAGATTGCTTCTTATTTGGGAAGGAAAACAAAAGTGAACATTGGGCTCTTCTGGTGGCCACATCCATGACCTCCCCCTGGGCTCAGCTGCTTAGTGTCTCCATTCTCTCCTTTGGGGTTATCTCAGGGTTGTACCTTTAGTTTTTAGTAGAGAAGAATTGCTTTTTTAAAAAAATGTTTTTTCATAGGAATCCAGATTTTTCCAAGACCATACTTTCCCATTACAGCTAAGAGAGGACATCCCAAAGTTTGGAATGCCCCAAAATGATTGGTTTATGGGTGTGGGATCAGGAAATGTTCTGCTTCTTCAGGTTTTGTTGGCCTGATGACTACCCAAGTTCTGTCTTGGGGGAATCTACAGACACGCTCTAACTCTTCCAGAAGGGCTGCTGGGTTCATCTGTTACATGGGTCTCTGATCAGATTGCTTGGGAAACCAGATCACTTTTAAAGCTAGGCTGTATTGTTACATGTGGATGACTTTTCTATTCTATTAAATCTTTTGTGGTTAACTTTAAAAATCTTTGTTTACCTAGATGAGGAGAAAAGGCGGCCTGATATTTTCCATGCATTGAAAATGGGTAAGCACTTTAGAAAATCTTTTTGGAGATTTATGGATATAGGGACATTCTCCCAACCTGGTATTTGTAATCCATTTCAAGGCCACCCAGAGTGTTTGAGAAAGCAACAGGCATTTTGTTATTTCCTGACTTGGTGGTTTCACACAGGGTGGTTCAGCCCCTGGAGACTGGTAGTCATTATGATGCTTTATACACAAATTCCAGACTGCTCTCCCAGCCCCCCACCCCCCGCTGCCAAACCCTGTGGCTATGTTCTGGCTTTTCCCTACCTCTGAAATGCTTCACAGCCTACCTACCCACTCCACTCTCATTGTGATGAAGCCAAAAATCTCTCCTGCTGGAGACCCCACCTCCAGGAAGCCCTCTCTGATCCTCACTCCCCAGGGAGATCTGAGCTCTCTGTGACACATTGCCCTTCATCTGTTCTCTTGGGATATCAATAACACTTCTCTCTTTTAGAAAAACTATTTTTGTGCTTGTCTCCGATCCTTACTGAGAGATTTGAGGATGGGGGCTCCCTCTTCTTCACCTTTGTTGCCCCTTTGATGCCCAGCAGCCCAGTGCAGAGGCAGGCTGAGCACCTGTTTGTTACCGAAACCTGCTGGATAAGTTATCCAGCAGCCCCCTGCCTGCAGACCACCAGATCTCCCTCTTCTGTTTGCAGGAAACTTCCAGCTGGTCAAAGAGATTGCAGATGAAGACCCCAACTATGTGAATCTGGTCAATGGGGATGGGGCCACCCCGCTGATGCTGGCAGCGGTCATGGGGCAGCTGCCTCTGGTGCAGCTGCTGGTGGAGAGGCATGCCGACGTTGACAAGCAGGACAGCGTGCATGGCTGGACGGCCCTCATGCAGGCCACCTACCACGGGTCAGTGCCAGCTCTGCTCCTTCCATGAGAGGCTTACGATACCCTGAGCTCAGATAGGATTCTTAAAGGGGTTTTCTGGTCCCGAGAAACTACAGATGAACTCAAGGGCTGGGAAGACCTTGAGGCACACACACACAAAAATCAAAGTGGTGCAGGCTCATTCTATCCTGCGTTCCTATTCTGTGTCCTGATACCCGTGACCTTATCACAGAATTCACCAGTGCCCATAAAAACTGTGCAGCAGGAACATTTTATGCAGGCAGGTAAGTGTCTCTAGTCGATTTCAGTGGAACAGTGGTCGGTTGGTTTGGAGTGTTCACACAGCTGTCCTTAAGTTTGTGTCCCACTGGAAATGAACATGAGCCATTCATACCGTTGGCTTCTCGGCAACTGGCAATGAATCTTGTCCTCACCCTCTCCTTCTGAATAGGCACCGCCATTGACTGGTGCTTCTGAATCCCTTCACCTCCTATCCTCCCTCTCCCAGGTAGGCTGGCCCAGAGGCCAGGAGCTGCAGACCTTCTTACAGTGGCTCGGTGGTCTGATTCCAAATAACCGGCCCTTCCTTCCCTGTTTCAGGTGATCACAGCACTCTCCCGCGTCATCTCAAAGCAGTTTGTTTTGCTCTTTGGTCAGCCTTGGGCTTCTGCATCAGACACCTTGGCCTATGTGGGGCTTCTACAGCATGGGGGTCCTGATTTGGGGCAGGAGGAGTGGGGAATCTATGTGTGGGCGTGTTGGCCACCTAGTTTTCCTTTTGTTTGTGGAAGGAACACCTAGGCTTTGGTTTCCATCACATTCAGTCTGGTCTGACCAGCCCATGGGGTAGGGAAGGAGGAGTGTGAGGCCCTTGGCAGCTTTCCACGCCCTTCTTTTGGGCTCTGGGATGGGACACTGTAGTTAATACCGTCAGCTTGCCCAGGAGCAAAGCCAGGCTTTCGCTTTCAGTGCCTCTAACTCTGGCTTTTTCTTTCCTCCCCAGGAATAAGGAAATTGTCAAATATCTGCTAAACCAAGGGGCTGATGTCACTCTTCGTGCAAAAAACGGGTACACGGCCTTTGACCTAGTGATGCTGCTGAGTGATCCTGGTGGGTTGTTTCTGGAAAAGGGTTGTAAACCTGCACAGCCTTTCTCTGGCTAGGAATGGAGAGAGTCACCTTTGTTTTCAGCCCTTGCTTATTCATGGGGGAAGTCACTCTTAAGCCCCAAGGGGCTCACCACGGGTCCTCAGACAAGTGGCTTCCTTCCTCAGTAAAGGCTGGGCTGGTACCAGGTAAACCTCTGGGCTTCTCCAGCACCGGCCTTCAGGGAGTCTCCTAGGAGGGAAGGCCAGCGAGACACAAATCTGCCTCAGTGGGCCACACAAGCCCAGAATGGTACCAGGGCTTTGGAGCCAGAAACCCTGACTCTGGGGGAAACAGAAAAGCCCCTTTGACAAGGAGGAGCAGACATGAAGCCATGGCCCCCTGTGCTGAATTGTGTAGGTAGAGGCCGCTGGGTCAAGGGCACTCTGCTGGCAGTGTCGCCATCCATACTCCCATGTTTCTTGGTCCCCACAGGCATCTGCTGCTCCCCTTGGGCCCTCCCCAACTGTGACAGGCCCACCTCTCAGACTTGAGGCATCCAGTCAGGCAACTCAGGGATCAGAGTCTGTCTGTCTATCCTGTCTCCTGTTGCCCTGGAGTTTCAGTCCAGGGAGGGAGAGAGGCTGGGAGGCCCCTCTGACCCACAGACTTTGATCCCAGCCTGCTGGCCTTGGGAGAGGTCTTTACCTTCATAGTCCCGAGTGGAGTTGCTCCCACCACCTATCTGGGCTACGGGGTGGAGGGCCGGAGCACCCTACCTCATCACTGGCATTGCCCCCACCACAGACCCCACCTGTCTCCATGGTTCCATTTCATCCTCACAGGGCGTGTGAGGGGAAGCAGAGCTGCATGTCCCCTTGTGGAGGGGAGGTGACCAGGGCCAAGAGAGATGGCTTGACCTAGCCGGCGAGTTGGGGTCCTCTGCCCAAGTCTAGTAAGCTCGCTCCGCCTCATCAGAGACCCTCCTGGTGTGCCAAGAGTTTGTGTCCTTCTAACTCATCCCCTGCATCACACACCCTTTTCTCATACAAACTTGTGTCTCACTGTGTCTCTTCTCCCTTGGCCTCCGATCACTTCCCTACCCTCTTGTGCACTAAGTCTCTCGCTAGTCAATTTTTTTTTCCTAGTGAGTTTTTTTAAATAAACTTTTTGCCTGAAATTTTCAAAGAAACACATGCTTATTATTGAACACTTGGAGAGAAAAAAAGAAACAGTTACCAAGAGGAAAACACTTAATAGTTTATAGTGTTTTCTTGTCAATTTCACTTATTGCATTGTTGTTTTGTTTTGGTAACCCAGGTAACAATAACAAGACCCGATCTCTCTTAAGCACTTACCTTAGGCAGGAATTCACTTGAATCCTCCACATGCCTTCACATGGTACTTACTGGCAGCCCTTTGCAGAGACCCAGAGACTCACTCACCTGCCGTTGCACAGCCGGGGAGGGGCAGAGGCAGAACCGAAGCCCCCGCTGTTGGCTGCAGAGTCTGTCCTCTTAAACCATGCTGCCCGTCGGTCTTTCTGTGGGGAGAGGACTCTGTCAGTCTTTCTGGTGAAGTGGCTTGAGCCCTGCCAGCCTGTTTGCTGCCTTCTGATGGCTAGATGGAGGGGGCCGGGCCTCGCTCCTGGAGTGACCCAGACGCTGGAGCCACGGAGTTGAGTTCTGAGGCCAAGCGGTGTCTCCTTGAGCCCCCTCCCCTCCGTGGCCCAACGGACGTATTTGCAGGTAAAGCACTGCCTTTTGTGTCCATAGACACGGAACTTGTTCGACTGCTGGCATCTGTCTGCATGCAGGTGACTAAAGACAAAGGCCGGCCCAGCCACCCACCGCCTCCGCCCCACTCGAAGGCTCGACAGCCCTGGAGTGTCCCAGTGCTGCCCGATGACAAAGGCGGGCTTAAGGTTGGCCTTTTCCTGTCCTCAAGGGCTAGAGAGAGAGCTAGGCTGACAGGCTGCGGGATGCCTGCCGCTTCCTGCTGACGCCAGGCTGGTTTTGGCTAGGGTGAGGGCGGCCCAGCAGGAGCGGGAAGTAAACTGGGGGTGAGCAGTGAGCATGGCAGATATGGGTAGGATCCAAATGCCTCTCCTCCCAGGCCATGTGTGTGCGGCGTCTGTCTGCACGTGGGATACTGCTGCTGGTGCTGTTCTCGGGTCTCCCCACTGCCCCATGGGCCTGCATCCATGGCTTTCTGGAAATTCCAGAATGACCTCCGGTTGCTCATTTCTAACTGCAAGCTGAGTATTCTTCTTTGAATCTCTCATGCTCCCCATCTTCTCTACTTGCCTGAAATCCACCTTCCCTCTCCGCCATCCTGTCTGGGGTTCTGGCGCCTCCGTGATCTGCATGCTCAGCCCTCTGTTCCCGTGCATCGCTCACGCAAGCCCCAGGTCTTCCTCTTGCTGTCATTCGCGGAGTTCCCTGCAGCCCCGTCCTCACTGCCGTCTCAGCTGCGCCCTCCTGGCCTCCCCTCCTGATGTGTCCCAAGGTTATGGGACACCCTGGAGGGTGGTACCGGTCCCCTCTCTCTTGGTGGGGGGACATCAGCTGCTGGAGCAGGTGCCCCAGGCCTTGCTGTGGACACCCGACACCTCTCACACGGGAATCGGGGGAGGAGGTTACACAGTGACTGATGTTACCGTGTTTGGCATCACCTCTTGTCCATCTGTCTGTCTCTGACTCACTTTAAGACTCCGAGCAAGTGGGCACCCCATCTGGGTCTCCAATTCTCGATCTGTTTGAGGTGGAGATTGGTGAGATGAGGGGTGGCAGATAGGGTCGCCCTTCGGAGGTGGACCCCTAAGAGCTGAGTCAGAAAGGATTTAGAAAGAACCATGGCTTTGTGAGAGAGTGTGCAGTGGCTGTTTGGGAGAACTTGTCATGCGCCCGGGGAGCAGAGGGGAAGCCTGTGTAAAGTGTAGTCACTACCCCCAGGCTGGGTGTTCCTGGAGCATGACCTCTGCTCTGCATTTCCTTGGCAGTCCTGGTGGAACCGAATGTCCAATCGGTTCCGGAAGCTCAAACTGACGCAGACCCTGCCCCGCGGGCTCTCCAGCAACCAGCCTTTGCCTTTCTGTGATGAGCCAGAGTCAGCACTGGACTCCACGATGCGGGCGGCCCCCCAGGATAAGCTAAGCCGCCTGGGGCTTCAGGCTGTCGCCCCTTCTATGAAAGAGAACGGTAAGAAAACACTGCATGTGCTGTAGAATTCTCAGAATGGTCAGACCCAAATTCTCTGCCTTTTGTCCTATCTCCTGGGCTGATGTCAGAAGGGAGATGCTTATTGGGATGTGACACAGGAGCAGAGTGGCTGGTCTGGGGAAGGACTGAGAGACAGGGACACCAGTGCAGTCAGCATGGTAGAATGGGGATGGTGGTGGTGAGAGTGCCTGGCCTTGGTCCCACACACCCTGCTGAGGTACCAGAGGCCAGGCCCTGCCTGTCTCTTGCCTCTGATAGGTGCTTTTCCCATCTGTCCAGGATGATTGGTCTCTGGCACTGGAAGGTTTTAAAATAGAATTTTATAGAGTTATCTGGTGGGGTTTGTGGGGTAGGTAATGGACTTCCCACCGCTGGAGATGTTCAACAGATTGGATGACTTTGCCAGGGGATCGAAGGAGAGTCCCACACTGATTGGACAATTGATTAAATCACATCCCTTCTACCAGACTCCCAGCCCCTAGACGAGCTCCTTCAGCAGCGCTGTTTGAGACAGACTATTGAGCTGGGTCCTCCGCTGTCTGACCCGCATGGCAGTGGTTTATGGAAAAGCTGAAAACATGCTTTGAGAGATACCTTTTAAATATTTTCCTTCTGTTCAGATATTGAATACCAATTATTATTAAATATTAAATCACTCAAGAGAGTTGGTTTTCCAGGATGAATACTGACCTTGTCACTCTTCCTCATGCCGTGAACTTGTTTGGAGTTGGAGGGGGGATCATTTCAGGAAATTTCCATTTGTCTCTCAGGTCCTGGGAGCACGAGAGGAGACAAAGAAGATGTGTTATTGACCACCATGGTGAGTGTGGGGCTTTTCTAAAAGCATTTCAGGTCTCTACCAGTCATGAGTTGATTGATTTACAAGGCTGGATATAGACATGTGTCTGTCTTTGTGGTGGTCACAGATGGCGTTGGTATCAAAACGTGTGACCCTGGTCACAGCTCTGGCACTGAGAGGGGGAACAGATTCCAGCCAGAAGCCATGGGTAAGGCTACGCTGGTGCTCAGTGGCCAGATGTCAGCCCTGATGGCATTTGCAGGGAGGCAGCACTAAGGACAGGGCTTTGAACGGTAGGACTTGATGGGGGACATTGGACTCATTATTTTTGTTGTGGGGAGTCAAGAGGAGAGGAATCATGGAGGAGGCTGTGCTTGCAGCCTGAGAGGCCTCTGTCTCTTCATCTGTGAACTAGAGATGGGTCAGGATTAGTTTTGGCTATGAGTACCAGAAAGTCCTCAAATAACAGTGGCATAGACGAGACGGCAGCTTATTTTTCTCAAGTGCAGCTCAGGACTGGTACGTTGACCCATGGAACTAGGGACATGCTTCCTTCTACCCATACTTGGCTTCTGTTACCTAGACGGCTGCCAGAGCTGTGGCCATTTGAGCCAGCAGGAGAGATGAGGGGAGAGACAAGCGGCTGCGGGCACATACCACGTGTCTTTAAAGTTTCCTGGGAACCCACATACCACTTCTGTTTATGTCAGGTCGGCCAGCATGCAGTTATGTGGGAGTTACTGCACAGGAGGCTGGGAAATGCAGTCTCTGTTTCAGGTGGCTGTGTCTCATCATAGTGTCAGGGGTGTCTACTGAGGAAGATGTGGAAGACGGGTACTGGGGGACAGCTGGCAGTCTCTGACTTAAGGGACGCTATCCATCATGGTTGTTTGTTTGAATAAGTTTATCCCCAGGAAGTTCTTAGCATAGCACCTGGCCCAGAAGGAGCTCACAGTTATCTGCTGTGTGACCTTGGACTTGTGACTTCCCCTCTCTGGACATCATGTGCTCCTGTTTGAAATGAGAGCCTCCTGGTTGGGGTTGAACTGAAGTCCATTTAGCTCTAGGACCCTAATCTGAAGGCTGACCAGGAGAGGGCAGTATTGGAGAGGAGAAGGGAGCAGAAGCTTCCCCAGTGAGGGCCTCAGCTGCCTCAGGGACCCGTGGCACCTGGAGCCAAGTGCTGAGGGATCTGCTCTTTCGGCCCTGTCCTGCTGTGCGATAGGTATGAATCCCTATCTCTAGACCAGTTTACCAAGGTAGGCGCTTGTGCTGCCGGACACTTGCTAATCTCATTAAACAGCAGCAGCTGCTTTTGTATGAGAAGGGCTGTTGCCAAGATTTTGGAAGATGCAGTTGAGTATAAAGAAGAAACATAAAATCACCATGATCCATGACAGGATCATGACGACATTTTGTGCTTTGTGTCTTTTGAGTATTTTTCTAGCCGTATTTTAGCCTCTACGAGTATATCGCGTCCCTACATGACAGCAGCAAATACGTCTCACAGCTCTTACTAAGGGCCGGCCACCATTAGGAGCACTTAACATATGTTCGCCCATTCAGCCTCCCCAGCACCCCTGTGGGGTCGGCACTGTTCTCTTCCCTATGCTGTGCTGAGCCTGACCTAACTAACAATTCGTCTGTCTGTCGCATGCCATTAAACACTCGTTAGCCACATCACGTCAAGTAGTTCGTCATGGGACTGTGCTTAACAGACCAGTGAGGGCTCACCTGTTGGACTTTGGGGTTTTAGTTGTTGTTTTCACAGATCTGATGAATATTCTTATGCCTCAGTTTCCCCTGCTTGCCTGACTGTTTCCTTGGGGGTAAACCTTTAGAAATAGGATTTCTGGGTCAGTGGTCAGTGGGCATTGTCATGCCTTCCAGAAAGTTTGCAACAATTTAGACTCTGACCTCAAGGAGTGAAAATGCCTTTTAAAGGGTGAGGGCGTTGCAGCCGGGTGCATCCCTAATCCGCTTCTAGTCTGACCCTCATTGCTGGCTGAGGTTGCTGAGGTCCTGATGGGACAGCCCTTTTCACAGACTCTCAGAAGAGCTCGGGGCAGCCAGGGTGGGACCCAGGTTGCCCAGCCACCACCTGCCATGGCGCTTCACCATCCCACCTCCTAATGCCTGATGGAAGGCACCAGAGTGCTGGGCTGCCCCTGGGCAGATGGAGGATGGCCAGGGAGCCCTGCCCAGTGGGCGTTTGCAGCCGTCCTAGTGGAGATGCACGAGTTCCCGGCTCCTGAGGCAGGTTTAGCTGTGGGATGCCCTTCCCTGCAAAGCGCCATCTGGCACCAAGTCCACTGTCTTTTCTTAATTAAAGTTAGTGTGGACTGAGTGAATGCTTTTCCTTGACAATCCACCAGTCATCATTGTGTGGATTTTATACTAACCCTAAATCACATTTTCAAAATATAAAATTACAGTTAAAAATGTCAGCAGTGGGAGGTGTGGCTGGAGTAGGAAGGGTGTGGTGGGATGGGGAAGGGAATCTTTGCTGGGCTCACAGAGAGCCTGTCTGGGCCTCGCGGTCCCCCCTGCCATGCCCTGCCCCTTCCTCCTGAGACCCCCAGCTCTCCCCCCGTCCTGCCCTTCTGGCTGCCAGGCCCTGCTGCATTCTGCTCCCTGGACCTGCAGTGCCCTTTTCCCCAGCCCCTCAGGGGTCCCTGTCACAGCACACTCAGCATCCCTTGCCCCCCCCCATCTCCCCATCCCCTCTGTCTCCATTCTAGCTGCTATCATGGACACAAAAGAAACTGGGGACTGGAGCAGAGTAAAGGAGGGTATTGCTCGGTTGCTGGGAGGCGAGCAGAGGATACCACATGGGTTTCTGGCAGGTTGTGTGTTGGGAGGGGTGAGGGGGTAGATGCAGGTGCCATTCTCTGAGAAGCGGGAGAAACCTGGAGAGTTCCATGAAGAGCCCCGCTGGGGCTTGTCTAACCCACAGCCTGTCTTTTTCAGCTTCGCAACGGAGCCCCCTCCCCCAGACTCCCGAGTGACAAGCTGAAGGCAGTCATCCCCCCTTTCTTACCCCCTTCCAGTTTTGAGCTGTGGAGCTCCGATCGGTCCCGGACATGTCACAGTGGGAAGGCAGAGCCCGTGAAGACTGTGCTGCCCCAGAGAGCTGGCAGGGGTGCCCCCGTGGGCGTGGCTGGTGGGAGCACCGATGCTGTAAGTCGCCTGACGGACGAGCTTTGACATTCATTCACTGCTCCCTGAAGTTGGGTTGTGCTGTGGGCAGAAGGGACCTCTGACCTGCTAATCCAGCAAGGTCGAAGGTTTTGTTTTCTTTTAAATGAGGGTTATCCTTTTGTCTCATGAATCCTACAAAGGGACTTACTTTATAAACAGATTAAAATGTGGTGTGAAGGGAATGGAAGTTGGGGGGCCCCTCTTCTCTGCCTTTTCTCTGGAGCCCTGGAGCTCCATAGAGCACAGCCTGAAGACCTGATCTAATCCAACCTTCCCTTTAGTAGATGAGGAGACTGGGACCTGGAGAGGGCAGGTAACCTGCCATAGCGCACCCAGCTCTGTGGCCTGGGCCAGGAAGGGGAGTTAGGTTCTTGGTTTCAAACCAACTTCCACATGATGTCATTGTTCAGGTCCATGACCAGGAGCAAACACTAGGAGGCAACTATATGCACAGCTGGTATTTTCTTATACTCACAAGGAGTGTGACATCTAGCTTTTTTGCCCATGGTGGCTTGTGACTCTGTGGGCCTCTGTGTGTCTCTGTAATGTCCTGAGGCAGTCCCTCTCCTGAGGAGATTATCCCTTGCGTGTAGGCGCCACATCATAGAATCAGTAAGTGGCAGACCAAGAGTGACGATTTAGGACCCTGCGCTGCCATTGTGTTGAGTGACTGAAAGAACTGAGAACCCCCATCTCTCTGTAAATGGGGTGACCCTTGCTCGCAGCTGCCTCCTGGGGCTATTACAACAGCAAGTCTCTAGTGGGAGAGTGAGAGCCTGGCCCCTGGAGGAAATGAGCAGGGCCAGCTGGCATCTAGTCTGCGCTGTGGGGGGAGGGGGTTGAGTGATGCTGAAAGTGGGGTGATTCGGGGACTGATGTCACAGGGGCTCAGCCTGAGCTGGTGGTCTGGTTGTCAGCGGCTAGAGGTAAACTCGCCTCTCAGGGGATGCTTGGCAGGCTGAGCACTGGTTGGCAGAGGTGTGTTGGGCTCAGGCATCAGCTAGGGTGAGCCAGGGGAATCCGGGTCCCTCCCTGCTGTGATCGTGTGTGCCCAGAGGAGGGAGCAACAGATCCTAACCACAGCACCCACTTTATTCTTGCAGACTCCTATCAGGCCTGTTAAATTTCCATCTCTCTCCAGAAGCCCCACCTCTCCCGCCAATTCTGGAAACTTCAACCACTCACCTCATTCCTCAGGTGGCTCCAGCGGGGTAGGGGGCTCGAGCAGGCATGGCGGGGAGCTGCATAACCGCTCAGGTGGGTACCAGGCAGGGCCACTCAGGGGAGGCAGGACGGTCCCGTGGGGCTGCGGGTGTGGGCGGCCCCCGCGCTTGCTCGGTGGATGGTCCCAGGAACAACTGCCCACACCCTGTCTTCCTCCCCGATGTGGCTCAAGGAGTCTCCAGTGAATTCACAGCGTTGCCCTTTGCCCTCCAGAATGGTACTTTCATACGTGCACAAATATTCACAGCCACACGCAGCACCTGGCTGCACCTTCCCAACGTCGGTGGTCGGTGCTCTCCCTCAGATCCTCTCTAGCCCTGGGTGTTGTCCCCTTCCCCTTTCCTCTCATAATAATGCAAGCTTGCTAGTGGCTTTGGGGCAGCTGGGAGAAGGAACGTCGTAGTCCACTCTGAGTATTGCGGTGAGGAAGTTTTTGACACAGCTCTGGAAAGTGGAGGGTCGGAGGGCACACACTAGCGCGGGGGCTGCCGTGGGCGGCTGGGCCGGGCGTCTGTACCTGCGGGAGGCTGCAGCTGGCTGTGGCCCAGGGAAAGTGAGGACAAGCCGATCCTACCCGCACTGCCTCCCCCAACACCTCACCGTGAGGCCTTCAGAGCATGGTGGCCGCCCCTGGGTCGTTGCCACCTTTGGTTTTCATGCACAGTCCTCTTGAGGTCAGCCCGGGCCCGCAGACACATGGGGTCAAGGGGGAGTCTGGGAAGGGCATTTCCAGCTCCGCAAGGTTAGCACACGAAGTCCCCCACACCCCTGTTGCCGGGCCCTGGACCCTTGGCAGTCATGTGTGTCCCTCTTTGCTCAGGCGGTGGCATAGACAGTGTCCTGTCCCAAATCGCTGCTCAGAGGAGAAAAGCCGCTGGTTTGTCGGAGCAGAAGCCCGGCCGCCAGTCAAGTCCCGCTGGGCCAGCACCAGGGTCCAGCTCGTCTGAACTCCCGGTCTCCCCCGCAGGCAGTGGCGGTCCCAGCGGCAAGGTGCGTGTTCTGCCTCTGTCTCCTCCTGTTACACTCATAGGTTCTGTCCTCACATGGCCCACGTGCTGGGGGGACACAGGCAGTGCCACAGTCCTGGGACAGGACTCAAGACAGGCCCCTTGCGGCCGGCTGCTCCCGGTCTTTCAGGGGAGGGCCAGATCATGCCGGCGATCTCTGGGGTCCCACCCTGTGCCCTTGGCCCCCTGCACATGGGCGTCTGCCTCCCACTTGATCTGCAGGGCCTCTCCGGGTGCCTCATTCAGCCTCACACTGTGTACACTGGGTCACAGCTTAGAGCCAAGAAGTGTGGAGGATGGGATCAGGAGAAGACTGCCTAGGGTTGGATCTTGGCCCCATGCTGGAGCATTTTGAGGGGGGCCCTGGCACCCAGCGAGGCTGTGGCAGCTGTAACTGCTCACATGAACAAAGGGAGTAGTTGTGCTCCCACCATATTCTTCCACTGGGCACCGGTCTGGGGTGGCTGCTTTGTGCCTAGCGCTGCTGGCAGTAGGGCTGCGGCAGTGAACTGGGTGGGGGGACTGCTTTCAGACTGTCACTGCGGACTCTGGTGGTGAGGAGGGGGATGCTGTGGGGGCACAGATGGGGGCCACTCCGCAAGCTTGAGGGCAGCAGTGACACCTACAGAGAGTCTGAAGGATAAAGAGCCACATGAAGGGGTCAGGGGTGGGGCAGGGGCAAGACTGCTCCAGGGTGAGGCCCTCCAGAGGGGAAGAGCTGAAGCAAGGTTGGAAGACAGGACAGAGTTGGAGCCTTGCCTCTCTGCACCATTCCCCCATGGATGCAGCCCAAGAGTGCTCAACATGTTGTTAGTCTCTGTATGGAGTTTGCAAAGGACAGGAAACCGCAAATGTCTCTCTGGAGTGGGAAGTTTTTTAGTATCATTAGAATCTGTCCGCTCCACCTGAGTTGGTTACTGGAGTGAGCCAACCCCCCACCCAAGTGTGGGTTCCTGGTGGTTGAGTATAAATTGGCTCCTCTACCAGGTGGCCCGCCAGGTGCCCCCCTCCAGTGGTTCAGTGTAGCCCATTTCATCCTCTGAGAGGACCCCACGTCCAAGCACTGTCCCGCTCTTCATATTTTTTAGATGTCTTAAGCTTTTTCCCTGAGAAAAGTTGGATCACCTGAAAGCCTCACCCCTGGGCCCTTGCCCAGAAGTGCCTCCAGAGATGATGTTCTAATGGATATATGAGAAATAGTCTTTATTTTCTGCCCGCCACTGTTGGCTACATAACTTTTGGTTTTTCAAGGTTCCTTTTGCAATCAGACTTATATAATTAGGTTCCCTTTATAATATATTTCCAGAAAAAGTTTCTCCCTATGCATTAGCATATTTTCCATTATACTGAAAAATTGTATGTGTGATAGGGTCTGTATAATTAGTTCCCTTTAGAATTCTGCTCTAGAAAAATGTCTCTACTGATCCTGTCATATATTTTCTTCCTTCAGATAAAAAGAATTATATAATTATTATAGTTCTCTTTTTGGCTTTGCTGCTAGGAAACTCAGAGCCACTAACCAAAGTAAGTCTTCTAGTCTGGGTTTTGATATAATTTTCCTCTTCTCTGTTGTTTAAATTTTTCTGTTTCTATTTGGATGATCTTATGATGTGTTAGATATTGTTAGCTTTCTTTCCTTTAACTGGTGTTCACAATAGGTAGACATCTAAATTATAAGTTAACTCTTGTCTCACTTGGCTGCATCTATTACATGTAATCTATATACAAGTATATTCCGATCAAAGGAGATTGTATGAAAAGATGCATTCGGGAAACAAATTGGGAAAGCTATCTAGTTCCGTGATTGCCCGATACTCCTAGCAATATGCTTGGGGAGCTGTCTAAAAATTCAGGTTTTGTGACTCCACCCAGCATCACTGAATGACTCTTCAAGACAGGATCTGAGGACTCTGATTTCCCCCCAGAGAGTACTGCAGCCAGCCCAACCCAGGGCTTCTAGAAACCACTGCCCTACATCAAAGGACACAAGGAGTGGGCTTTCTGTCAAAGGCTCCAGAAGCAAAATGGAGACATGAAGTACTTGTCAAAGACTCCCCTAGGAAGGATTAGAAATCAGTATTCAAAATAGGAGCCTCCTGAATCTGGTTTTTGAACTTGGCTGAAGACAAGCACCACCATAATGGAGGAATATTCGCAAGGCATGGCTTCTGGCATCTTCACGAATCAGCCTGAAGTGAACCTGAGGAGACACAGCATCAGGGAAGTCAGAGCGTGTGTCAGTGCTCCCCAGACCTCTGGGAGCCCGAAGTCCCACTGAGTATGTCGCCTCTCTGTTCCTACCCTAAAGCTTAGTGGTTTAAAACAAAAAGCATTTCTTTAGCTCGTGAACCTGTGGGTCAGCATTTCAGTCTGAACTTAGCTAGTCAGTCCTTCTGGTCTGGGGGTATCACTTATACATTTGGTTGTTGGCAGGGTGATCAGGATAACTGAGCCATGTGAGCCCACAGCAAATTTAGATATGTTCTCATGACAACAGCCAAAGGCAGGAGTTGAAAACCAATCAGGTTGTTTAAGCAAGTCAGCATGCCCACTACAGGAGAACTCACAGAGTCTATAGGAGGAGTTGAGATGACGCTATTAAAGCAATCAGTCTGCTGTATTGACTGGGAATAGAGGGAATTGTTCAGATATTTCAGAGCATCCCAAATAAGTGTATTTGTCTGTCCCCCACCCCCACCCCCACCCCCACCAAATGATGCCACCCAGAAGGTCCAGAGTATCATTTTTCTGTGCTTTGACTGGGATAGATCTGTTTAGTTGGGATATACTAATTATCTCCCGCCTTATCAGAAGCTGTCCTTGAATGTCCTTCTTTATAAAAAAGCAGAATTTATTAACAATATAGGCAACTAAATGACAAAATCTTTCAAAATCTAAGAGAAGGATTCCTGTTCCACTCTGGGATATAGTCATAAGGAGCATTAAAGGCTTAGCAGGAGAGGGATACCCATTTCCATGTATTAAAACTATTTATCTTTGCCTCTACTATCCTAGTCAAGATGTCTAACTTTACCAAAAAGTACAAGGTGTACAAAAAGGCATGAAAAACTGCACTCCCAAGAAACACAGCAGTCATCAGAATCTGACTCAGATATGACACAGGTGTTGGAATTACCTGGCAGTGAATTTAAAAAAACTACAGTTGTTAAAGGCTCTAATGGAAAATTTGAGCATAGAAGATCATACAGCTATTTCAGCAGATAGATAGAAGTTCTAAGAAAGAATCAAGTGAAAACTCTAGAAATAGAAAACAGGAGGCAGAGATAGGCAGGCCTTTGATGGGCTCTTCAGTATGCTTGACACCACCAAAGAAAGAGTCCATGAAGTGGAAGACAGGGTAAAAGAAATCACCGAAACTGGAACACAAAGAAAAAAAGAAGTTAAACAACAACAACAAGAACAAAACAGTTATGGGATAATATCAAGTATTCTCACATACAAGTAATAAGAATCCCTGAAGACAAAGAGAGAAAGAGAATGGTAGAATGAAAAGAATATCTTAAAATAGTGCCTGAAAATTTCCCCAAATTAATGATAAATGCCAAATCACAGATCCAGGAAGTTCAGAAAACACTATAGGATTAATATAAAAAAGAAGATGCCTAGCCATATCCTAGTTAAACTACTGAATAAATAACTTTCAAAACTCAACAGTAAGAGGGGCACCTGGATGGCTCAGTCGGTTATGTGTCAACTCAGGTCTTAATCTCAGGATCATGAGTTCAAGCCCGCGTTGGGCTCCACACTGGCCATGGAACCTACTTAAAAAAAAATTTTTTTAACTCAACAATAAAACAACCAACAATTTATAAAAAATATGCAAAATGGATACTTCATCAAAAATAAAAAAATAGTAAACAAACATATGGGAAAATGTTGAACATTAGCTATTGGGGAAAATGCAAATTAAAACCACAGCAACATAGCACTATATACCTATTAGGCTGGCTAAAATTAAAAATAAAAATTTAAAGATATAAGTGTTGGTGAGCATATGGACCCACTCGAACTCAGATGCCAGTAGGAATGCAAAACAGCACAGCCACCTTGAAAATGTTTGGCGGTTTCTTATAAAACTAAATATGCACTTACCATACGAACTGGCTCTCTCCCTCCTAGGTATTTACCCAAATGCATTTTCAAAAACTGTTCATGCCAAAATCTGTTTGTGAATGTTTCTAGCAGTTTTCTCCATAATAGGCCAAACTGGAGACATGTCGTCAACAGGTAAGTGGATAAATTAACTGGTATGTCCATGAGATGGGACACCGCTCAGCAGTGGAAAGGAACACACTGTCAACACATGCAGTAACTTGAGTAAATCTTCAAGGCAGTTTGCTGCACAAGCCTCCCAAAATCTGCATATTGTATAATTCCATTTATGCAGTTTTTTAGAAAGACAAAACCTTAGGGATGGAACCTTAGGGATCCTTTGTTTCTATGGGTTGGGATGAGGGGCAGGTTGACTAGAAAAGGACAGGACAAGGGATATTTGGAGGTGATGGAACTGTTATTCTATGGTACACAGCTTGGCATTTCTCAAAACCCACAGAATTGCACACAGCTGAATTATTTCTGCTGTATGCAAATTTTTAAAAACAGTATGAACCAAGAACCAAAGATGGAATGCAGACCATGACAAGAGATCTAACTGTATTACAAATGACTGACATAACGACACTTTGGGAGGTGGGGTTGGGGGGAAACTGTCAAGTAGATATGGTAAGGCCAAATAAAGATAAATAACTATACACTGCACTCTAGTTGATAAATATTTTTCTTGTAGGGGTATGGTTTAAATTCTGAAGCCACTTTACACGTACTTTTTGTATACATATACACTTTATGGTAGGGTTGATCAAATAAGTAAATATAATGAGTCCCCTTTTTAACTGTCAGAGATCAAATTGAAGGGGAAATGCTCCAACAAACCTCATGGTTGTTGGACTGTTATCAGAGGTGTCAGTATGAATCAGCATGAATGCATGCCTATAAATATGTGTGTGTATATGTATGTATACAGATTGATACAGGAGTAAGTGTGGATATGTGTATACATGTCTCAGTGTACTTTATTTCCTTGCTCTGTCTGCTGAGGACCTACCAGCAGTGACATCCCAGTAGCCACGACCAACCTAGTACCCAGATTTTGGTTTCTAAATACCACTCTCTAAGGAAAGGGACCAGGGCCTTGGAGAAGTGGTTTATTTCAGTGCTGAGTCAATGAAAATATAAGATGAGCCTAAAGCATTTTATGGTGTCAGAAATTAAGGAGATACCCTTAAAAAGAAGAATTTTAAAAAGGTGGGCGTGTTGAAAGGACATAGGAGCCAACCTGAAAGATCTCAGTGGGCAAAACTGGAACACTTTGAATCACCATAAAATAAATAACAATAGTTATTAGATTATAGCCCAGAGAATAACATAAATATCCATGAACCCATACCGATAAGAAATAAATAACTGGATAAATGGGAAAATGAGCAACTCTTTCTTACAAAATTCCAAATAATAAATATTAAAGGTAAAGGAAATAGCAGATCTCATATCATTAGAATATCACGGTAGTAATCGCTGCAGATAAGAGCAACTGAAAAATGCTAACATTACTGGGAGCAACAAGGTATTTAGCTCAAAATCTACCCTCCTTCCCCCAAATATTTGTTAATTTTAAAGGGAAAAGTTAGCAACTTCACGGAGAAACCGGACAGACACCACCTTAACTAAGTGATGAAGGTCAACATTATCAGTAATAAGAAATGGGTACTTTGAGATTCCTGGTGTGATGCAGTAAGAATGGCTCATTACCTCTGGGGTCATTAGCCCGCAAATCTAATTATGAGAAAATAGACCCAAACCAAGGGATACTCTACAAACTCCTCGACTCTTTGACAGCGTCAAGGTCGTGAAAAACAAGGAAAGACTGAGCTGTCACAGATTGGAGGAGATCAAAGAGATGTGAAAAGTCAGTGCAACTTGGACCAGAATCAGGACATTAAGTGGAACCACCAGTGAAATCCGGATGAAGTCCATCAATTAGCTAATAGTATTGCGTGACTGTTAATTTCGTCATTTTGATGATGTGCTATAGTTACGGAAGCTGTTAACATCAGGGGAAGCTGGCTGATGGGTACACAGGGATGCTCTGTTCTATCTTTTAACTCTTCTATAAGTCTAAAATTATTTAAAAATAAAAAGGTACTTTTTTAAAAGCTAAATGACACACATACAAAGAAGGGAAAAGTGATGTATTCTTTGATGGAAGGTTGGCAGTGACTGGGTGAGATGAAGGGACGTCAGGAGCAGAAAGGGACTTTGATAAGCCACACATCCGTCTAGAGCTGGGTTGGCTGGGAAGGAAAAGGACTTGGCCAAGGACTCGATCCTAGTAGCGTACGGGCAGGACTAGCACACAGGATCCAGGCTCCTCAGGGGCCTCTTGGTCCCTCCTATTTCCCCCCACCCTGCCTCTCTGCCCCAGGGGAGGATTTTCCCACGACTGTTCTGACAATACTGTTTCTGCTTTGCCTGTGTTTTGAAGTGGATTTCATGGATTGGTTAGATCCTGGTTGGATTCCTTGCTGAGTCAGACAGCACCCATGCTCCCTGCCGGGTGTCTGTTTTCATCACTCCACCCTCCAGGTGACGGCTTACATATTTGTCTTATTCTTTTCAGCAGAAGCTGGAGACGAGCAAAAGGCCGCCGTCTGGAACTTCCACTCCCTCCAAGAGCACCTCGCCTACGCTCACGCCCTCCCCTTCACCCAAAGGGCACACGGCCGAGTCCTCAGTGTCCTCCTCCTCTTCCCATCGGCAGTCCAAGAGCAGTGGGGGCTCCAGCAGCGGCACCATCACAGACGAGGGTGAGTCTGCCAAGGTCCTAAAATGCCGCCCTTTCCTCTTCTCCACTGGGACCTGCAGGTGCTCTTGATTGCGATAGCCGTCCTAAGTCGGGCCTTGAAAATTTCCAACAAAAATTCCTATCCCCTTTCTTCCCTGATCCCACCTTGTATTTTTATCTTTCCTGGGCTAATGGTATGGTAAGCTCCCTCAGCTAGTGCTTGAGCATAGGTGAGTTTTGTGGACATACCCAAACACACACTTGTAGACATGCTTCTCCAATACCACTTATGGACCTTGTCTTAAACCTTGTGCAAATCGGAATTCTGTCATTTGCAAGTAATGCAGTGTCCACTCAAACCGGTTTAAGTAAAACCGGTTGGCTCATCAAGCGGAAGTGTTGAGGATGTGCTTCAGGCATGTGCTGATCCAGGTACCTTGGGCATGTTTTTCTCCATATCTCAGATAGGCTCTCTCTCATCTCAGTGGGGGCAAAGTTGTCCCCCAGGAACTTCAAGCTTACTCATTTTCCCTGCTAACTTGGCCACACCAGCAGAAAGTGTACTACCTTCTGAGCAGGTCCAGCAAAATCCTGGGGTGAATGTTACTGGCCTGCCTTGGCTCTTTTTACAGTGACGGGTCATTTGTCGATCCTTGACCGTGTGTCCGTGCCAGTGGAATGTGCTCATTGGTCAGGCGCAGGTCTCTTGTCTGCCTTTGTAGTGGTGTCAGGGTCTGCCCTGCAGACTCGGAGAAAAGTGGCTCCTCAAAGGAAAGTCACAGTGCCATTTTCAGAAGGAGGAGGGCATGGATGGTGGGCAAGCAGAAGCAGTAGCTGTCCCCTGTAACCAGGACAACTTTAGAACCTGGGCACATGAACGTAAGCCCCTCCTGTGGGGACAATGCAGAAAGGATGATGGAGTGGAGGCCCAGCTGCAAGGTCCCAGATAAAGATAGGAAGAGAAAAAAGACAAATGGAGATGAAGAATCCTGTACCTTTAAACTGCCTTCTGGTGGTTCCTGGGGCGGGGGGGCGAGGTGGGCAGGAGGGGTGTGGGGCTTTGGTGAGAGATGGGGTGCAGGCAGGTGCAAATCAAGTAGTGTGTCGGAGAAGGTAGAGAAATCTCAGGTGTTGGAGGGCCTCCCGCTCACACGAGGGCATCTGGCTACGGGGAGGATGAGGCTGAGCATGCTCTGCCCAGCAGGTGACAAGCTGAAACCAGCCGCACTGGCTGTGGTCTGGACCGAGCTAATGAATGCATGCTGCTGTTGGCATCCCCTTTATTTGGGGGCTGCTTTTATTATTTTGTGATCTCTAATGCCTTCATTTGTAACCGCTTCAGAGTCTAGCAACCCCATTCCTCCCCAGCTGTGTTTTCTATATGGAGTGTTGGGTTCGCCACTCATGAATTCTCCAACCTTGGAGGCTTTTAGGAATTCTAACTCCTAGAGGTTCAGTTAGGTACTCATACCCCACCTTTCTGCAAAACATTGTCGAGACCGTGGATATCTGAATGCACTGCCCATGCCTATTCTTTTCCCCTCTCCCTCTTCATTTAAAAAGGTTTGCAAAGCCCTAGTCATGATAGAAACAAAAGAGGACCTGATAGCAGTTTCTTTTTGGATTAATTTCTCTGGTGTAGAAAGCCTGGTTTTCCCTTCCAGAGTTCCTGTGTCCTGAGGCAGCAGGATCTTTGTCCTGTGGCCATGAGATTGTCACAGGACAGAGCTGCAACCCAGCCCCCAGACAGCTACTTTTTATGACATTTGTGTGGGAAATGTGGCCCTAGTTGCGGACTACATGCAGGCCTTTGTCCTGCCCCATCTTTCCACCAGCCGCCCTCTCGAGACTCCCTCTCTGGGGAGGGGAGAAGCCTGGGCACTGGGTGACATCACCTGTCTGGGTGTTAGGATGGCTCACAGTCTGGCTGGGGATTCGGGTGCAGGCTACAGAAGAGCAGTACAGGAGTGTGACACAGATGGGAGCCAATCTGGGTTAGCAGCAGAGCACGGGATACCTGGGCTTCACCGAAGAGCAGGCCTTCAGGCCAGAGGGCTGAGGAGAGGCGGGGCAGTTGCGGACCAGAGTCAGTCATCAAATTTATAGGAAATATACAAGCCAGTGATTAAACACAGCTGTTAAAAGTCAAATTACAACAAAGCGACAACACCTATGTGTGTGTGTTTGTGTATGTATTATATATAATACCTGTATAATAAAAATATATGTATATATGTTATATAAAGGAAAAAACATAATATATATATGTAAATCTATATAAAAACACATATGAAAGAACCCAAAAAAAGTCAAACTACATGTATTTACATAATTACACTAATTAAATTAAAAATACATGGTGTTTAAAACAAAATATATTATTTAATTTTACGAACGTCTGCGCTCTTTATGCAGTAGAAAATACTACATAACGAGACTCCACTATGCACATCCCTTCCCAGTTCCACTTTCAGGAACACGGGTTATGCTGGTGGCTTGAAATCAGCCAGCAGGGGGCATTGACTCCATGACGTCAGCAAACAGCCACCAGTCAGGGTTTAGTTTGTTGTGTCCTAGAGCCTCTGACGTCATCTAGACAATGTTGGAGAAAGTTAAATGTGTGACTTGCACAAAAAATTGAGAAAACAGTCTTTCAGGATTTTAAAACCATTACCTCACACAGTGGACTTGCTCCCATGAAGGCCCTATATGCATCCTCATTGTTCCGTCTCATCTTCCATGTTCCTGTAAATGAAACAGTCCTGCAACACCTGTGTTGGGACTGTAGTCCTTGGCTCTGGACTAAGAGGAGGGCAAAAATCAGTGCGAGCGTTCAGTGAGGTGCCTGAGATGCTGCAAGCATTGGCGATACGGAATTTGTAAGAACCAATGTTGTGTGGTGTATTACTGTAATGTAAATTGGGTGCTATATGTCCCTTACACGTGTCCCTCAGTAAAATCTGCAATAAACTTACATAGCTACCTCCGTACGCACATGCATTTCCCTCAGAGAGCCGGCTGTTAGCCACCTAAGCAGTACACTACTATGGGGAAAGGCTGCGTCCATGGAGGGAACAGCAGAAGCAAAGCGTTGGCATCATGAAACTGTCAGTGGCTTCTGTACGGGCTGGGACTTGCTTCCTCTCGTCCATCCTAGCTCAGTGACACTCTCCTGTGAAGCCTTTTCCAGTCCTTCAGGCTGGTCAGCGGCCCCCCGTCCCCAGATTCCCTTGTTGATACCCCTCGTCATAGCACTTGTCACCAGTGAGAGACGTGGTGGAAGGGCTGGAGTGTGTAGTTCAGGCCAGGGAGCTGGACCACTCAGTGTGAATTCCTGCTTTGCCATGGACCAGCAGTACGATCTCATCCAAGACGTGGTAGCCCACCTTTTGACACCTCATTTCCTCATCTGTAAATGGGGACGATGATAGGATGGCACTTGTGTGGTTGTTGTAAAGAGCAAATGGGTTATCCATGTGCCGGGTGCCTGAATGGTGCATCAGCCTCCGTATTTTATCTCCCCAGCCACACTGAGCTCCTTCACAGCACAGACCTTTCCATCCTTGCACTCCCAGCATGTAGTAGGCATGTTGGTAGCTGCTGTAGAATGAATGAGTTAAAAAATGAACTCAGGCCTCCTAACCTCCTGTCCACTCTTCTGTGAATTGCACCCATGGCCCCAGGACCTTTGCACTTGCTCTTCCTTCTGCCTGAATACTGCCTGCTGATCTTTTCCTTGGTATTACACAATTAATTCTTTCATTTACTGCTCAAATGGTACCTTATAAAGGAGCACCTCATTAACCACACTCTATAATAAACAACGTTCTCCTATTCTGTCATCTACCCCTACCCTGCTTCATTCGTCCTCACCACCTTTGGCCTGGCAGCCTGCTTATCTGTTTTGGTCTCTGTTGAGTCCCTAGAGCCTAGTCTAGTAAATCCCCATCGAATGGGTGAATGAATATTTTTTCAAGCCACCCCGCCCCCCACCGATGCTAGTCTTGTCTCCTTTCTTCACCCTCCCTGCTCTGAAATCTTACTATCCAAAATTTTCTGTTTTCCCCTGCTCTGTGGCCTTCTGGCTCTGCTCTTCCACTCAGATGTATCCATCCTTCCTTCGGGGAGCCCACAGCCTCCTCACACTGAGCCAAACTCCAGTTCTGGTCTGAAGCCACCTGCTTGTTCTCTTAAGTTTCTCCTCCGCCTCGCTGACAACTTGCTGGCATTAGCGTTTGCTGCAGGTGCGGCTACCAGCAGTCAAGAAATCATAATTAAAAGCTGTTCTTGGACAGAAAGTGGAGGTTTAGTCCCAGCAGCTAGAACCCCAGGAGCTTGGAGATGACAGCCATTGGAGGGTCACCTGGCCACAAATCTCCCCATCTTCTCTGTCCAGCTCCCACTTCGGGGTTTGGGGATGGGGAGATACCAGGGGCGTGCCCTGAGGGGAGGCGTGGCTGACAGGTGGTTCGTACCTGCCCCCAGCTGCATCCCCACAAGCTGAGCTTCGATCTGCTTTCTGTTTTGGGAGTTTCTTGTGACATTTTATTTGAGATAAGGTTGCCACTGCTTTATGAGTTTGAAGACCACTGTTCTGATGCATTTAGCCAAATTCTAAAATATCTTTTCACATCTTTCCCTCTCAAAGATGAACTGACTGGAATCCTTAAGAAATTGTCACTTGAGAAATATCAGCCCATTTTTGAGGAGCAAGAGGTAAGAATGTTATTTTTGAATGTCCATCAAATATTACTATAAAAAAATCAAATATATGGGTTTTTATCTTACAAGCATAGATTGATCTTTTTCACTGAGACAGCTGAGGAAATGGGAGTTTGTGTTCTGCACATTTAGTTCAGTTCATCACAGTGAAATCCTGGGGGCCTTATGGCTTGTTTTGTTGTAACAGAATTTTGTTATTTTGCGCACTGCTCTCGCTAGTAAAGTTTGTGTCTGTCCTGCACACACTTTTGTTGAAGGGGATGGACTGACAGGCTTTTAGATCTAATGCGGGTCAAAAGCAAATCCTAGTGACTCTGGGCTGAGTGTCTGGATGTAGGATGTCTGTGTTAATCCGAGAGAGTTCCTTTTGCTTAAAAGTGCTCACAATCACATTTAAAGGAAAAAAAAATGACCGTTCTGCCGTTTGGCAGTTTCTCAAAATGTTAAACATAGAATCACCATGTGACCCAGCAATCCCACTCCTGGGCGTGGGCCTAAGAGAACTGAAAACATATGTCCACACAAAAACTTGCACATAGCAGCCTTATTCATAATAGCCAACAAGTGGGAAACAGCGCAAATGCCCACTAATTGGTGACTGGCCAGATGTGTTACTGCTGTACAATGGAATATAATTCGGCCATAAAAAGGAAGAAAGTGCTGACACACGCTATGACACGGCGGAGCCTGGAACACACATGCTGAAGGGAAGAAGCCAGACACAAAAGGCCACATATGGTGTGATTCCATTTATATGAAATGTCCAGAATAGGCAAATCTGTAGAGACAGAAAGTAATTAGTGGTTGCCAAGGAGTGGGGGGAGGAGAGAATGGGGACTGACTGCTTATACGGGTGTGGGTTCCTTTGGGGAGTGATGAAAATGTTCTAAAATTGAGCGTGATGGTTGCACAACTCGGAATATACTAAAAATCACTGAATCGTCTGCTTTCTTCTTTTAATTAAAAAGATTTTTTTCCTTGGGTATAGTTGCACACGGTGTTATGTTAATTTCAGGTGTGGAGCTTGGCGATTTGACAGGCTTATCCTTTCCCCTGTGTTCACCACAAGCATAGCTGCCCTGTGTCCCGTTACATTGCTGTCACTGTACCACTGACGAATTCCTTAGGAGTTGTACACACTCCAAATGGGCGGACTGTATTGTAAGTGAGTTATAGCTCAAGTTTTTGAAAAAACTGACCATTTTGGCCCCATAAACTCCTCTGTAGGCCCACTAGTCAGCTGGTGTAATCACTGGTTTGGAATATTTCTGGGGCCCGGTCGAGCCTGTGACAATGGTCATCATGACAGTGGCAGTCCTGAGACTCGCTCACTGTCCCTGCAAGCTTGAGATGCTGCTGAGGGACTAGCATTTTGTCTTGAGCAGCAGACAGAGTGAAGCAGCCTTCTTCCTCTCTTACTTTCTTGCCGTAGCCAGTGGGTCCTTCCTGCCTCTCCAGCGTTTTAAACCTCCACAGTGATGTTTCTTATCGCCAAGACATCTTTCCCGTACACCGCTGGCGGCCTGCCTTGGTGTGCTGTGTTCCGTGCCCTCTTGGAGTGTGCAGGGAACACATCTCAAGGTGTGCGTCTGTTTCTTGAGGTGTCTCTGTGTCACAAGGCAACATTCATCCTGGGTTCTTAGTTGCATCCCTGTTTGGGAGCCGGCCTGTCTGGGGGCACACCTATCATTCATCATTCTCTGGTTCTTGCCGCTGTCCCTTATAGGGAACTGAGGTATGTTCCTGATGAAATATGACACTTTCAGAGTTTTAGAGGGAGGGGAGACTATGCAGAATTGCTGTGGTCTCCACAGCCTCTGGGGTTGGGGAGGGTGCTGAGGCCTGGGGCAGCCCTGTGGGGAGAGCTGGGAGCCACTGACTGGAGGCTTTCTGTTTGTGTCAGGTGGGGTGAGGTTAACCGAACCAGCTCAGCTGTCCCCCTGTGCTGAGCTCCCCACTGGACCACATAGAAGCTCGACAGCACTGTGTGAGAGTTGCCGTCTGTCCATACAGAGATATCGTGTTTCCTGGAAGGCTTTGATGGGAGTCGGGTTTTAACATCATGGATTGCCCCTGCCCTCCCCTTCACATCCATCCCTGCAGCTACAGAGCACTTCTCAGTCCTTAAGAAACTCCTCAAAGTACCTGGCATGCAGATAGTACTTTTCCCTTATTTCCAGGGCTCATAAAAATGTCTTCCCTTTATATGCTTTTAGTCATTTTTGAGAAATTGGAAGAAGAATGAAGTAAATATATTTTCTCATCCTCTCAATATTGAAACTGAAGCAGACTAATAATTTTCATCTCTCTACCTGTATTTGGATGGATTTAGCTACATATATTGAAAAATCCCAGGAAGTAGTATCTTAAACAAAATAGAAGGTTATTTTTCCCACAGAAGGTGTTCTGTTGAGTCACCAAATCTCCTTCTAGCTCTCTGCTCCACTAGGGTATATGGCCCTCATCCTCAAAGTCCAGAATGGCTGCTAGAGCTCCAGCCATTACCTCCACATTCCAGGCAGCAGGATGGAAGGAGAGAGCCAAATGATACCTGCTCTCCTTTTTTTAGAGAGACTTCCTCAAAGTACCATAAACCTTCTTATATCTCATTAGCCAAAAGTTTGTCAATTGACATACTCATATGCAAGGGAAACTCAGAAATATAGTTCTTTAGCTTCATGGAAATGCCTAGCTGACAACTATGATTCTATTACTAAAAAAAAGTATTACTAAAAAAAAGTAGGGCATGAATATTGAAAGGACACAGATGTTTCTGCCTCATCCTGCTAACCCTTCAGAAGTGCCCACGTGAGGAGAATTTAGTCTCTGGTTCTCTCCACCTAAAATGAGCTGTGAGGGTTTGGTAGCCCCCAGGGTTGATAGAGGTCAGAGATTGAGAAGGTCCGTTCATCTGGGGATGCAGTAGCATATTGACTGGTGTGGTCATTCAGTCAGCCAGCAAACACAGCTCAGGTCTCTGCCCTCTATCAGGCCCTCTACTGGAGCCTGACCCTAGCAATGGCAGAAATGCCCAGAGCATTCTGGGAGCCCAGGAAGGGCGTCTATTGAATGAGGGCCAGAGATGTTGGCTGAGCATAAACTGACCTTCGAGGGAGGGGAGCAGGGTAGAAGGGCATCTGGGAAGAGGGAGCAGACGTGCGCAGAGAGCCATCAGCACTTTGGCCTGTTCAGGGCTTGAATGAGGCTGGTGCATCTGGGGCAGAGAGCGGAGCCTGACTGGGCAGGGCCTGGCCGGCATGGACGTGATCTGTGCACTGTGGTCCGGAGATCTCTGGCCTCTGGTATGAATGGTGGACCAGGATTGATGGGGGAGTTAGGGGCAGACTCACAGGAAAGGAGATTCCAATCAGAAGAGGGTGGCCGGGGTGGGGGGTACCATAGGCAAGAGGTGCTGAGGAGCTGGCCATGGGGACAAGCTGGGGGTGGGACCGTGGGGAGTGTCCGGCCCAGCCAGGGGCAGGCAGTGTCTGTCAAAACCATGTCATCTGCTCTTTCAGGCCCTCAGCCCCTTTTGAGCTGTAAAGTCCCAGAGAGACGCAGGGAGGCACCTCCCAGGGCTTGGGGCTGGGGTCGGAGCAGACCCTTCCCCACCAACTCACATCTGCTTCAGGGTTGTTTTAATCCAGGGAAGTAAAATGACTATTTAAAACAGAAAAGGAAAGATGGGGGACATTTTTCAGAAAAAAATTCCTCTATCTCCACATGCATCAAATATTTCAAAGAAAAAATTTTAAAAATCTTGTTCGGTATCTCTGAGGGAATAGAAAACAAGCCTGCTTTTAAAGTAAAGAACTAAGGGTTTTCAATAAGTTATGAGAGTTTTATTTTAAATGACAGCAATATTATATTACATAAAACTATAACGTTTTTGTAATTTATTTAGTTTGCAAAGCTTCGTGGAAGCCCTCTGGGTAGATCCTACAACCACAGTAAGTTAGGTTGGGGGAGGATTCATACATTTCAGGTGGGAAACTGAGGTAAGCAGCAAGTGGGGATCGAGGCCCTGTCTGTCTGCATCCAGGCAGCACTGGCTCTGTCCCACGCACGGGCTGGAGAGGTGGCTGTGGGCAGCCAGCTCCCTTCCACTTCTCCCTGATGACTACCATTTTGGGGTCTAGTTTGCAAGGGCCCATACAGGGGACAGAACCCCTTAATTCTTAGGGAACATCGGGTCACATTAGCAAGGAGGCCGTTGCACCCAGGAAACCACAGGAGGGAGGTCAGTGGCTACAGCTGCAGCATCAAAGGGTGATGTGGCCCCTCAGAGAAGAGGAGGTACTGTGGAGCCCACAGCCTGGGTTCCAGTCTTGGCTTTCACTGACTGGTCATGTGACCTTGGGGACTGAATCTCTCTGTGCCTCAGTTTCCCCATCCCCCCAAACAGAGGATAATAATCATCTCACCTTATATCATAAGGCTTAAACGACTGAGTCTGTGCCAAATAGTCAGAAAGTGCCTCACACGGTGTTAGCTTTTGTGTCCTCCCGTCGTCACCTGACAGTGAGGCTCCGGGACAGACCTGGGGTGTGTGGAGCCGGCCTCCACCTGCTGTGCTTGCTGCCTCTGAGCAGGACAGACACGGCAACATAACAGCCACATAGCAGGGCAACCTGTTGGTTCTTCGCCTGGAGCTGAGGCCCAAGCTGGGATGACAGAAATGTCAGGGTTTTCCCTATAGCAGCCAAGGGTCGTGTGGCTTTGAGATGCCCTTGTTCTGAGCCCTTCTCAGCTTCGGTTCTCCGTGGCCCTTCTTCCCTTTATCACTTCTGCTTGCTGACTTGCTCACTCAGTCTTTCCACAGTCTACCTCTCCCTGGTCCTCGCGGGGGGAAACGTGCTGAGTCCCGCCATATATGTGCATTTTCTGTGCGGTTTCCAATCTCTGGGCAAGTGCAGCCACCTGGGATCAAACTTCTAAGAGCAGCTTTGGATCTGCAGCATGCCGGCCACCCAGATTATGCTCTCAGAGACTCCCCTTCCTTGTGCAATGGCCGGGAGTCTTCCACAGTGCGCCCGTCCCGAGATGCCCAGGCCTGGAGCTGAGGAGAGTTAGTCCTTCATAATCCTTTCAACTAAACTTTCATCATAAAGTCATCGTGAAGTAAATCATAATTCACTGCTAATAAGCACTAATAGCTCATAATCATGATATTTCTGATGTGGATGGGGGAAAAACGAGGCGTGGCACCCAGCAGATGGTAACGAATCCCCCTTCTCTCTTTCCAGGTGGACATGGAAGCCTTCCTCACGCTCACCGACGGCGACTTGAAGGAGCTGGGTATTAAGACAGACGGATCCAGGCAGCAGATCCTGGCAGCGATTTCTGAACTGAATGCGGGCAAGGTATTGTTCTCGATCTTCTCCTCCCGTTTCAAAGAGCAGAGAGCTCCGCTAGGAGCCTTACTAAGCCCTCCGTGTTCCCGAGGACATCTGTGGTCTGATTTTGTCTCCTCTGGCACATCTGGCAGAGGGCGGCCCCATGTGCACACTCCTTACCACTGAGTGCTCCCCACCTCCTCATTCCTTTTCCAGATCTCTCTTCCCATAGAGTTAGCAAAAAGACTCCTTGTGGTCATTTCAACCCACATGGCTGGGTATTGCCCTCCAGCGTAGAGTGGAAGCAAAGCTGTCGTCTAAGAGGGGCCCTGGAATCATGCCCTCCTGGGGGTGAGCCCGCTCCTCCTCTTACTCACTGTGTCCCCTAGAAGTCATCACCTCCCTGAGCCTTGCTTTTCTCATCCACTGGGGGCTGTGGGGTCGTTGCCAGGACCAAAATGCCTAGCAGCGCCCCTGCCACACACAGACCCGTCAATCACTGTTGTTATTGTTGGCATCCTACATTTTTGTCTAATGTTAAATTTCTGTTTCACCAGCTTTAAACCAAATATTAACAATGCACCACCATCAAAGCACACATGCAAGAAACAATTAAAAAAAAAAAAAAAAAAAGCATGAGAAGCGAATCACCACTCACTTGGCAAACCTTAGCCCAGTTGCTGTTGGGCTATTCAAGCTCCTTTGCTTCCTGGTTTCTTCCCTAATGTGGGCTGGGTTCTGTCTCCAACAAGGGATAGGACTTGCTTACCTGTTGCTGTTTCACGCTCAGCCTGACAGCCCCTCTTGTTAGACAATCACGCTGTGTCTGGGGTTTTGCCATTACAAATAGCACTATAATGGATATCTCTGCCTTGTTCCTTTCTCTTCTGTTGTTTTGTTCCTTGGGCTGTGTTCCACAACTCGAGGTCGTGTCAGAGAGCGTGACCGGTCTTACGGTTCTTTCTGTGTATTGCTGGGTAGGCACAGAAATATTGAACAGACTTAGAGTGCCAGCAGCAAATAAATATTCATGTAACCCTTTATCATTCACAAGACGCTTCCCATACATTTCCCCAGTTAATCCGGAGGCCAGATCCTCACACTTGCCTTGTCCAGCTGGCGAGGGAACAGAGCCTCGGTGAGGGAGGTGTGCCCAAGTGGAGAGGCGGGCAGGCAAACGAGGCAGAACCTGCACCCGGATCCTCTTCGTATGTCCCCCCAGCACGTGCTGGGCATGGGGGGCTCCTGCCGGCCCCACTGTGGTTGGGGGGAGATGGGGTCGGGCCTCTTGCTGTCTCCATCATCATTACTATTTCACCTGTTTATAGGCTGCAAGGTGGTCCTTTCAAGTGATTTAGTAGGCAGTGCTTCTGGCACCTGTGTTTTACCTTGAGTTTTTACTGTCTGTTCTTTTTCTTCTGTAAGTGGCCCATTGCTAGACACAGCTCATCTGTTCCGTGGGCCCAGGCTGCCTCGCTTTACAGACGGGGAAGCTGAGGCTCAGGGGTAGATAGTGAGCCCCAGCTCCCAGACCAGCACTGTTTCAGCTCTGCTATGAGATGTGAAGAGCAGGGTGGGGACAAGGGGCTGAGGCAGGTATGGGAGTTGCTGGAAGTTGCTAGAAGTAGGCCAGTCTTGGATGGTAGTAAGGGCTTAGCCAGGGAGGTGAAGCCCCAGGGTGGTGCTGGGGCATCGACGAACCAGAGCAAGCACTAGTCTTCGGAGCATTGATTTATTGATTGATTTTTTGAAGATTTTTATTTATTTGACAGATATTTATTTATTTATTTATTTATTTATTTATTTATTTATCTGACAGACAGAGATCACAAGTAGGCAGAGAGAGAAGGAAGCAGGCTCCCTGCTGAGCAGAGAGCCCGATGTGGGGCTCAATCCCTCCACTCTGGGATCATGACTTGAGCTGAAGGCAGAGGCTTTAACCAACTGAGTCACCCAGGCACCCCTGGAGCATTTATTTAGTCATGAAAAGTAGCCCTTGGATTCTCTGCCATGTCCCAAGCATGACGTGGATGTTGACCTCTGAGGCTACGTTGTGCCCAGCACTGCTCTCAGCAGTCACGTCTAGTCATTTGCTTAACTTCACAAAAGCCACTGAGGCCGGGTCCAGTTCATAAGTGAAGGAACTGAGGCAGAGGGAGGTTAAGGAACTGGACTGAGATCACACTACTGGTGAGTGGCAGAGCCAGAATTGGAACCTGGACTTGGTTTGTTGACCACTATGCTGCCCTGCCTCGGTGTAAGCCACAGATGCGTATGAAGGAGAGCTCCTGACTTTGAGTGAGGGCTGGAAAGACAAGGTCCTGGAAGACATCCCCAAGGAAGTGGCAGGAGGGCTGGGATGGAAAGAAAGATGGGAAAGTTTGGGTAGAGGGTAGAAGAGTGCAGACCAGGCAGAGGGAAGCTTGTATGCAAAGTCCCTGTGGTGAGCGGAGGTGCAGTACATTTCAAGAACTCAGGGAGTGCTGGACCTGAGAGCAGGTGGTGTGGTGTGCGGGGAGCCCGGATGGGACAGATGGGTCCCCCAGGTGGTTGAGGGTGACCCAGTCAGGTAAGGGCAAGGGCTTTGGGGAGCAGGTGGCTGAGTGATGGTAGGGGGATTTGGCCCAAGGTTTGCAGGACCTTTCCTGCTTCTGGCCTCCAGAGGCCAGACATGTGAGCCAAAGAGAGCATGGAGGTGGGGGAAGCCAAGCCAGTTGAAGAAGGACAGGAAGGGTTCTAGATGTAGCACCAGTGAGATCCATGGAGGGGTTGGGAGGACAGGCCAGGAGCTGGGTGTCACTAAGAGCCTGGCCCAGGGCATTGTAGATGGTAGCTGCTAATGCTTCCAAAGCCTCCCTTCTGCCCTCAGTGATCATGGCCTTTATGGCCCAGGATCACAGAAAGGAGGCAGATGGGACTGGCTTGCAAATCCCAGGAACATTAACAGCTGCAATCCGAGTGGGTCTGGGGTTTCAACATCGGAGTTTGGGTAGTGGGGACACCTTCCTTCCGTAACAGTGATCTTTTGGGGGGCTGGGTGCCAGCTGACCAGCTCTCAGCAAGAGACCTGGGTGCTTCTGACCCACCAGACCGAAGGGCCGGCTCATCCCACCCACGTCCCTCCCACGGGCAGCATCTACCCTCAAAGTCAGCCAGTTCCACATGGTAATAGGGGCAGAGGGAAGGTCTGAATTACCAAGCAAAGTCCAGTGGACGTAAGGACCATGCATCACAGCGTGTCCTAGAGCAAAAGCATGACTGGGAGAAGCTAAAGATCATAAAAACAGCTCAACCCCGGGATGACCATTGCAGCTATGCACTGCTTCTTAGAGGAAAGAAGTTCTCAGGCCGATCCTGGCTTCCAGGAGCTCTTTGGATGGCCTTTGGAGGCCCTGGGCCTCAGCTCTTCTGGGCTGGCCCTGCCTCACCCCGACTTCAGGGCATCCTGCCTCCTTCTTGATGGCTACAGGTGTCCACTCCCTCTTTGACGTCCATACTTTCTCTTTTGCAACCCAGCCTCAGCCAAGAGGGACCCCCTCCGTGGCTCTGATGCTCTGGACACATTCAAGAACCCAGACCAGGACCCGAGGGAGGGAGGCCCAGCTTTCCTTGTCCACCAGTGTCTTCATGGCTGTGGTCCACAGCATAGTGGGGGGTTGTGGACCCAATTTAGTGGTTCCCCAGCAGCATTTTAAAAAACAGAATAGCGTAGAAAATGTCACCATTCTTTGCAGATAGGAGGGTAAAATTTGTTTCAGTTGTGTGTATTTACACATAACAAGGTTATAACCTAAAATGTGTTTCTTGCACAGTCAAAAATAGTTAGAACATTTTAACCTAAAAGGTTTTATGTTTGTTTTGTTCTGTTGGTGAAAATACCAGGAAAGCAGCATGGGTCCACAGCCTTTCAAGCCACAGGCCTTCCGGCTGAGCCTACCCCCCACCGCCAGTATGCAAGTTGTGATGTGTACTCGAGTGGGCTTATTAGTTGACTAGTTTCAAACAGTTTATATGTTGGAGAAGGTCATCCAGAAACTTCACGTGAATTTCACCTTTCGTTTGTCCAAAGCCATTGCAGTCTTGCCATCTTGTGTGTGTGTGTGATTATCAAAGCAGCACACATTCATTTTACGAAGTTTGCACAGTGCCAAAGAGGGCAAAAGAGTTCTTAGAGGAATCATGATCCAGCCAGCCAGAGGCCAGTGCTGTTCACATTTGGGAAGATCACCCAAATGTGAATTTGGAGGCCATAATGTGTGCCTCGTGTTTGCTGCCAAATATTTTTCTCTACGGGGATAAATTTGGATCTATAATTTTACCTCCTCCTTTCTTCATTTAACATTAAATATATGCAGTTACTCGTGTCATTAAAAACTCTTTTTAATAGAATGCATTTGCATGGATGTACTAAAATTACCTTATTTTAAATCCCTACTTGTTGGATATGTGGATATCCGAACTTTCTATTAATAGTGCTGCAGTGGGCAACTTTGTGTATAAGGCTTTCTAATTATCTCTTCAGAATAGATGTCTAAAAGTGGACTCATGGAGTCAAAGAGTCTAAATCAAGGTATAGGGCACTTCCTCCTGAATTACTGTCCAGAAAGAGCCAGTGAACTTCCCACCAGCTGGGGGCATGTGGCTCCTCTGTCAGCAGATCCCCGCCAGCACTGGGTGCTCTCGGTTTGCTCTTAGATGTTTATTAATTTGGAGGCCAAAAAGCGTGCCTCGTTTTAATTTGTATTTCTTTAACTACTGGTTAGACCGAACACGTTTTTCTAGTTTCATGGCCATTCGCTTTTTGCTTTTTAGGAATTATCAGGCAGGTCCTTTGAAGCGCAGGGGTTTCTAAAGGGCAATTATTGTCATCGTCTTCAGTCAGCGTGGATGCGGAGAACAGTTAACGGTTTTCCTTGTCTAGGGCTCTCTTCTTAGTAGGAGGCAGAGTGCTGGAACCCTGGCTGGCCCTGACCTCGTCTCTCAGGCGGTTCAGGCTAAGGTAGCATGTCATAGTCACATGGCCATCGTTGCTCCTGTTTAGTTTTTCAGCCTTCTGCAGTTTGCCCAGTGTCACCCTGTTCATTATCCCGGGTCAAGCCTCCTCACAGTCCCAGCATGTCCTCCTGTCCGCCATTTGCAGATAGGAAGTCCAGCAGCACGGGGTCTTGCCTGGGACGCCACTGCGAGGGAACCGTTGAATAGGGACTCGCCGTCTTCTGACCCCACGTCCCTGCCTTGCCCTCTGTCCTGCAACCTTTAGGTTTGTGTTGCTGGACTCTGGGGGGTATTTTTCTGGCTTATTTAACTTAATTGGAAGGATTGGCATGCCGGGCAGTCTTACTGCCTGCTCAAGTGTCTAGGAGGCCTGGATGGTGGTAGAGGTCCCGGCTCAGGGCTCATGGAGGGGTCCCCTGGGGCCTGAAGAGTCCACGAAATGAAAGAAGAATTTGAAGTCTGAGCTCACTCAGTGGACTTCTTTTTTTCCCTTTTTACTCTTAGTAGAGAACAGTCTGCCAAAGATCATTCATTTTTAATCTGCTTTACATTTTGACCACATTTGTTGGTTTTAAAAAATATGTTTAGTCCACACTGCTATCCTCTGGAGGACAGGACCTGTCAGCCTCCTGCTGCCCACACAGGATCTGATGTCACCAGCAACCATTTGAATACTATTATTATCCCCATTTTATAGATAGGGAAACTAAGGCCCAGAGAGACTAAGTGTCTTGCTCAGGGTCACTCAGCCAGTAAATGGGAGGAATGGGATTTGAACCCAGGCTGTTTGGTTCCAGTCTCTGGTCTCTGTGTATTACTGCCTCCCGGCCAGGTATTCAGTGAAGATGTTCTCTGGGCTGAAAGAAACATCCACATCCTCCCTCTTTTCCCATCTCAAAACGTGTGCGTTAAGGGGTAGTGTTGTGAGGGGAATGCTGCAGGGCTAGAGTGAGACATGAATCATTGCCAAAAGCAATCTGACATCTTTTGGGCAAGGGGGAGTACAGCAGTTCAAACTCCCTGTGTAGCAGAAAGAATTCCGCTCCCACTCAATTCCCTGGAAATCTAAGAGCTAGAAAGACACACAGAGTGAGTTGGGAGGCAACCTCCCTTCCAGGCCATGTGACCTGGGCCAAGTCAGTCCTGCTTCCTGGGCTCTGTGTCCTGTCGTTGTCTGGGGGATTGGACCCCTGCAGTTGGGGGCCCTTTCCAGCCTTGACATGCTGGGATTGTGGGTGCTGGGGGACATTCTGAGCCAGCATGTTTTTATTAAACTCAGTACTCTTTTAATTAGATAATTTATTTTCCCCACCATACCCACGGGTTTCTCAAGTATGAGTTGAGCATTACCAACACTATGTCAATTGAACTAATAGTTAAAAGATTTAATAAGACATTGTGTCTGTTTTTTATTTCCTCCACAGGGACGCGAGAGACAGATTTTACAGGAAACCATTCACAACTTCCACTCTTCCTTTGAGAGCAGTGCCAGCAACACCAGGGCCCCAGGAAACAATCCCTGTACATGATCCTCCCTCTTGTGGTGACTAGCGTGAGCTTTCTGAATCCCAGTGCTGCCCTCACGTAGCCCGTGCTCCAGCCACCATCAACTCCTCCCCATTCCCTGGAACACGCCTCGGTTGGTCACACCGCCGTGCCTTTGTCACGTTCCCTCTGCCCCAAATGCCTGTCTTCCCTTCTCTTCTCTGCTTTCGTAGTTGGTGATGCTCTTGCTGTAACAAACTCCAACGCGGTAGACTTATCCTCATATGAAGTCCGGTATGGCTGTTTCTGCTTGGCAGGCGGCTTCCCACTGTAATTTAGGGACCCAGTTCCTTTCACCTTGTGGCCCTGTCATCCCCAGGGACCTCAGCATCTTTGCTTCTTGCTGGCAGAAAGGGGAAAGGGGCTGTGGAGAAGGCACAGCCATTCTTAACCACGTTCCTCTCCACTGTTCTTGCTCCATCCACTCCTGCTCAAGTTCCATTGGCCACCGGTAGTCACATGGCCCCACCTGGCTGCATAGGAGGCTGGGAAATGTAGTCTTTGCTCAGGTGGTGGCTGCCCAGCAGCAAGCCTACACTTAGCCAGGGCGGCGCCATGTTTTAGAGGAAGCTTAGCTTTCCCTGACACATCTTCCCATAAAACTTCTAACTTATTCTTTGTGATCCAAGTCACCGATCCAGTGACGACTTCCTTGACTCCCTTATACAGAAGTAACTTTTCAGGCCTCAGGGTCCCTTACTGCTTGTTTAGGACTCCGTTCTAACACTCGGCTGCACCGACTGCCTACAACACACAGCAGGTGTTCAGGATGTGTGCGTTGAATGTGTTTGTCTTTATTGCCATGGCAGGCTTTTCTGTAGGAAAAAAAGAGTAGGCCTGCTTTTTGATCTCAGGTCCCTTCTCCCTTCTGGCCGTCAGTGTCCTCACCTGCAAGATCTAGGGTCGGGCAGGAGGAGGCTCCGCCGATAGCCTGCTCTGCTCACATCATGTCGCCATAGGCTCTCCTGCACGTCAAGGGGGAGCAGAAGACCCTAATATATTGCACTGTGGAGGGACTTTGGTGCTCAAATTTTCTAGACAAAGAAGCCAAGTGTTTGGAATTTCTTGAACACCCTGTTAATGCTATGTTCCTTAGAAGGGAATCGGTCCTTACGGTTTTCTGCCCCTATTACATTTGCAGAGCTCCGACAGTAGCTTTTAGAAGTGTTTTCAAGTGAGTCATTTGGCCAATGCTTGCTGCATTTGTGTAACGTGCTGGGTGCCGGGGCTACAGAGACAACCTAGAGCCAGTCCCACCCTTGGGGACCTCTATAGGCAGGAGAGGACAGGAATGGTCAGTCCCAACCTCAAAAGGTGGCGTGGCAGAACTCAGGCTCATTAAAGTTCACCTCCAGCCCTGTGGCTGGCCAGCTGCATGGCTTGGGACAGGTCACTTGGCCTCTTGCTCAGAGTGGAGAGCCGCTTGCAGAAAGCTTTTAGTCTGTACAAAGCACCCAGTAGCCAACAGCCTTCACAGAGTTCTTGTCTTTGCCATGAGCTCCACCAGGCTGCGTGCTGATCTCCTTGGGAGGTGTGGTCGCTCATGTCCCTCCCCAGCCACGAAGGCCTGCTCCTCCTCCATTGGCTTTGTGGGGCAGCTCTGACCACCTCATGTTTCCCCCACCCCTGCCCGCCCCTGCCCGTTGAGACAGCTCCTCCTCCCTCCTCCCATCCTCCCACCGGCAGCAGCCTACTTGCAACACTCCTGGGAGGAGGCTGCACTTTAGCCATCACTGACAGGCTTATTTGTAAATAGCCCTCAAAGCCAGGCCTTTAAGGAGACATGGTCAATGTGCACGTACTCCATGCAGCAGCTTGAGGTCAGTGTCGTCCATCCTCTCTGTCACCCTGGAGAGCACTGCACATCTGGGAGACCCACAGAGTGAAGCTGTGTTCCAGTTACACAGCCCAGGGTGGGCAGAGCTGGCCCAGACCTGGCTCTGGTGGGCTTCCAGGCCCATGCCTTTCCACTGATCCACGTAGACTTCTGGAGCTGGAGGCACCGGGTATCCTCAGTGTTGTAATGTACTGATGTCTCCAGGGCTTAGTTCTCAATAGGCCAAAGGTTGTTTGCCCCTGAAATACACTGGCCTCTGAGTTACATGCTTCGAGGTTCTATGTCTGCTTCCTGCTGCTGTGCTGGTTTTTCCACAAGCCCCCTATCCGTGCAGCATGCTGCTGGGTATGTTTGACTCAACATCTGCCACACAAACTGTGCTGGAGGGGGCAGCTTTCCTCATCTGATGGCCCAGACAGAGTGGGGCTGATTCCCATCTTGCAGATGGGAAAACTGAGGCTCGGGAGAGGTGCTTCTCTTGTCTTTTCCACTGGAGTCAAGTGGTCCTAAGGCTTTTTCTCCCAGGCAGTTTGTGTGCTGTCTGATGAGAGATTTCTGGCACACTTTCTGGGGCATGATCTTCCCCTTCCTGGTGACATTCCATACCCCTCCCGTGTATTCCCCCCCCCCCCCCCCCCCCCGGCCTGTAAGAGGCCATTCTCCTCCATAGGAAGTATTTCCCTTGCTCAGTGACCTGAACCAGCATTCCCCAAAGTGGTTTCCTTGGAACACTACTTCCATGGGATATTAATGGGTTTTTCATAAAGAAAAATCAAGGGAGTGTATATGTGAAAGTGGAGTAAGGCACTTTGTGATCGGATAGGTTTGGCAGGCACTGGGTTAAAGCCCAGTTATATGACTGTCTTGCTGCAGGACATCTCAGGACCTTCAGCTTGCCTGTGTTTGTAGGGCTTCTTGGAGGCGGCTGTGTAACATGTAGCATTTCCCATATGTTTGCTCACAGAGCACTTCTTCATGGTGCTCTTGCAAGACAGGTTCCTGGGACGCTGTCCAGGAAGCCTTCTTTGACTGGGACAGTGGCAGCCACAAGGACTCAGCTGCTGGGAGTCGGGTGAGGGGGCACTCAAGGGCTTCAGCTGGGTCAGGGATCCTCAGTCCTCCTCTGTGCCCAGCATCTCCTGGCAGAGGGGCCCTGCTTTGGCAGTAGGACATCAGGGTTGGGGAGTCCCCTGACTTTTGGGTGATTGGGACCTAGCTCAGAGGACTCTCCATCTGGGGAACAGGGGAGAGGGCCCTGTTCCCCAGCCTTAGTGCTGTAGCCCCACTGGTGTGTGCTGTGTGTTTGTGCCACACCCCCCACCAGCCAGTGTATGCTTCCACCTCCTTCCTTTGGTGCCAGATCATTCGATAGAAGCTATCTAGTTTTGCAAGGAGAATGTTTACAACATTCACCAGACATGCACTGAGCATCCAGCCTGTGCCTGCCCTTACTTGTGTTTTGGATCCAGAGTTGAAATATGCACATCTCTGCCCTCAAAGAGCCCAGAGTATCTTAGAAGAGACAAGCATGTAATAAATGTGTTGCAGTGCCATGTGAGGAGTCTTATGACTTATAATGAAGGCATGTGCTAGGTCTGTGGCTCTGAGCACATTGTCTGTGATGGCTGAGGTTTGGCCCAGTAGGAGAGGGCTAGCAGATGAGGAAGCCAGCAGGCCCCCAGACAGGGACAGCCTGTGTGAAGTTGGTCTGTATATAACATTTGTGCACTACATGTTGCTTGGGTTGTTATATACCTGTTTTTCTGATTTGGGTTGGGTTTTATTGTTGTTGTTTTGTTTTTTGATTTGGGTTTTTTAAAATGCATAGAAACAGTCTATCCCCCTGGAGAGAGCACTGAATCTAGAGTCAATCCTAGCACTGGGTTTTTGCTCAGCCACTTACCGGGTAGCAGCTGGCTCTTTTTGTTGTTGTCAGAAGAGGCTAGTGCTCTCCAAGGTGCTGAAGATCAGATGTGAGTGAGAAAGCCCTTTTTACACCGTGTTGAGCCATGCAGATTTGAGAACTTTCCACTATGGTTGCACATCTGAAGTCAATCTCAACCTCCCTCTCTATCTCCCCGTCCCCCTCTCCCCTACCTCCCATTTGCCCAGATGTAGCCATAGCTAGGGAGGGGAGCAGAGGGTAAGGCCAGAAGAAGGGGCCTCCTGCCAGAGGGAGCAGCAGCTTAGCTGGCTCTGCTGGCCTCAGAGTCCAGGGAAGCAAGAATTGTCAGAAGATCCCCACACTCCAGCAGTTCTGACTCTGGGGGTTTGTGTCTTTGGGATTCCCAGCAAGGTTAACAGAAAGAAGCAGAAAGGCTTTCCAGCCAAATTGTAGGAGCTGATCCAGCAAAGAGGAAGCAGGAAACCCTTCCATTTTCTCTTACCTTGGAGCTGCCCAAGGATGCAGCCATGCAGTCCAGGATCAGACTAGGCTGCTGTCGGCACCTACGCTGACCCATGCCGCCAAGAACGCCTCCCAAAGCTCGGGACTCTTCTTGGGAAGATTTTGCAGCCCAGCCTGAAGGTGTTGTGAAGCATCATCCGTGCCCATCTGTCCTTGTCCATTTCAAGCAAGATTATCATGTCTTTTTAACTAACCGATACTGTTCAACATGCAAGGACACCCGATGTTTTTTCCTGATAAAGTCAATACCAAATTCTGTAGGACAGGCCAGAGAATGAGTCTCCTCCCCAGGAAGTGGGAGGTGAATCACCTCCTCTGGGAAGGTTCTCCTTAAATATATCTGGAAGGCCTGCCAGACTCGCCGCCGGCCTCTGGGGGTGTCTGCTCCTCTGGAACATGCCGCCGAAGAGGGGATTAGACTCTGCCTGAAATTTCAGTCCCTCATCTAAGAAGCCAGTCTGTATAGACAGTGATTCACCAAAGCTTGAGATGACAGAAGGGAAATCAACACAGAATCTCCGGTGGTGGGATAGAGCAGAAAGCCCAGTTCATCTGTCTCCAGTTCTTTCTAAGACAAAAACCATCCAGGGATCCCTCCTCAGGGCCCTGCCCAGTGGGGTGAGCCAACCCCACCAGGTTCCCAGTTCCTGTCGGAGCCAGGTCCCTAGGGCTACTGGACAAAGGGCATGGCTGTCTTCTTCAGGGAGACCTGTCTCTACCCAGGTGACTGGGCTAAAGTTTAGCCTTGAGTCCTCCACGAAGCCGCTGTATCCTTTGATATAAGACCAAGTTGCCATTTTGTTTCCGCTCTCCCGAGTGGGTTCCCGTGTTCCTCACCATCAAACATCACTTTTTATTATTATTTTCCTCATGAAGGGACTTGATTTCTTTAAAGGACTTTTGTTTGCCAAATGTGTATTAAATAACCGTGGATTTGTCTTCCCATGTTGATTTTGCTCATCAAAGACATAAATGCTGC